GACAATCAGTTTTGAATTCTGCCCCCTCTAACCTGGTAGCACACCAATTTTAAGAGCAGCATCACAATTGCCTCTTCTTCAGAAAGACAATACCATATGAAAGGGTAAAAGTGTCAGAGCTTGTTTGGGCCCATCAAGGGAAAGCGGCATCCTCTTGGTCAACAGAATGGAATCTGTGATCTTCTTCTGCCGCCTGGGTGACCCTGGAGACAAACTCCCTGAAACAGCACAGACACTTCTATTCTCCCTGAAGAGTTCATTAAACTTGGCCTGTCAGTCACCTGGCCAGGAGACCAGGCCTCAATGTACCCAAAGACAAACTTAGGAGATGGGAGGAAAAATTATCCCTTTAGTGAGATCATATACTTATCCATCCCAGAAGCCCCTCCCTCATTTAGTTGCTTGCAGGTCTTGACTGCTAAGCAGGCCCACTCTTCTGAGTTCTAATCTAACTCAAAAAGCACAACTTTTCATTGCTATCCCTTCTATCTCTTTCTCCAATACTTGCTCAAATCATAAGTATGCTCGCCCCGGCATCTGGATGCCCTCATTCTTTCTGTAAAGACATCACCACCACTCCCTCCTGATGGGAGATGTCATTCTGTATATGTTTCTCATACTGGTTTAATGAATAAAGCACTGTTGGCCAATAGGAAAGGAAGATAGGAGGGACTAGGAGACAAGGAGGAAAGAGGAAGGAGTAAGGAGGGGTCAAGATGGAGAGTCTGGAGGAGGGAGAACCGCCAGCCACCTCTCGCTGGTAAGACCATGTGGAAATACATAGAAATGGGTTAATAATTAAGACAGAGCTAGCCAATAAGAAATAAGAAACAGGCCAACAGAATTATATCAAATACAGAGTCTCTGTGTGTTATTTGGGGCTGGTGCGGCGGCGGGACAAGACCAGGCGGCGAGAGGAAAAACCATACTCCTTACACCCTCCCCATCACTGAACCTGGCTGTTGTCCTGGACCTAACTCAAGGTGCGTGGTTGTCCCTTCTCCTCCTCTGACTCTCAACAACTGCTGAGATTTACATTGCTACCCTGATAGTTTTCTTTCAAAAATCTAATAAAATGATATTCAAGACTCCTTCTGAGTCCTTTTTAGTGAAACTAAGAACACACAAAGGGACCCCAAATTCCTTATAACATCGTCATCTTTAACCATTCCACATGGTGTTTGCTGATGTAGTAGGTTATGGTGAAATACAGTCGTCTGCAGTATTTGTGGGGAGTTGGTTCCTGGATCCCACAAACAGCAAACTCTTCACATGCTGAAGTTCTTTCTGTAGAAAGAACCTATGCACCTCTTTCTTTATATTTAAATAACAGTGTTGTTTACAAAATGGAGTCTCTCAGAGTAAGACACAGCCTGGTGATTGGGGGAGAAAAATCGCAGTTTTATATAATATAGAGAAATTTAGGATCAGGTACACCCTGACCTCAACTCTCCCAATCATGAATTTTGTGTCATCAAAATATGAACTAAATTAACCTCACTTCTTCATTTAAAAAAAAAAACAAGTCTTAGACATGTTATAGAATTATGAAATAGACTAAGTCATGTTGTCTAAGGTGTTTCATCATGAAGAATTCCTGAGTCTTCAGATAGCTGGTACAGCAGATGCAGGAATCTTTTACCAGTCATGACTTGTAGTCTGATCACCAGCAACCTGAATCCCAAACCTAGGGAGTGCCTCAGTGTCTGAGGCACGGTGACCTCCAAAGCCAAGAGCTTTGTGCCGAACCTCAGGAAAGACAGCAACAACCTGAGCGTCCACATCATCCGTTTCCAATACCCATGGGGACACTGATGCCATTGTATACAACAGCAAGCACAGCAGAGTATGGAGGACCATGGGATCTGCCTTTCTCCTCCAGCCTGGGAGCATCATGGATGGGTAAATCACTCTCAGCCATTGTGACCTGACCATCATCTGCCAGATGGACTTCAAGTACCCAAAGTACCTCAACATGGAGGCCACCAACCATATGGAAGGAGATGGGACTTCAGGATCAAGTGTGTGGCCTATGAGTGAAGCCAGCCTAGAGCTAGCACACAGCCATCAACAGAGGCGGCTGCATAGCTCTCTGTTCCCCATGAACCCCGCAAAGTACGTCCTGCATTTTTGTGGCTGCTCTATGGGATTCTATAGGATGTATCATTGCAATGCAAAGTTAATCTCACAGCTCTGTCAAGTCCCCAGTCTGAGAATCAGGGCAACAGTTGAAAGATGAAGAGATTCTGAGGTTTAGAATAAGAATCCACCATTTGAGCTGTGTCTGGGGTTTTTGTTTGTTGGTTTTTCTTTTGCTTTTCATGTTCCCAGTATTTTTCTAACAAGCTCTAGAATTTCCCAGTATTTGTCTAACAATCTCTAGAATTTAAATCTCTTCGTGAAACCAAATGAGCAGAATATTAGACTAATTTGTTTTTCTGACGGACAGGGATGGACAGCAATGATGTACTGAAGTGGCGATAACCTTGTACGGTGCATACTCAGGGTGTCCTATCAGAAACGGAGCCAGTGTAGACTGTCCTGTCTATTACATCACTTGCCAACTGCATTATGCCACTTGGAATTAGTTAGGTCATGACTCTGCTTTCTAAATGAATATATTTTCTCTAAGCTCTGGGGTTTGGCTGGTGGAGATACAGGAGATCATCACCTTTTGAAGAGGCCAGAACTGTCTGTTCTCTATTACAGAATATTCCTAGGATGATCTCCTAAACGAAGCTAGAGACTTATCAACAGAATTATTCCTGCTCCCGAGAAACCATATGGTTAACAGCTGTGTTTATCTCAAGTGAGATATGCTAAAATTAAGGACCCATTTCTGAATGATAGTGTGATCACCACACAGGATAGAAACCCCAGATGTTCTGCAAATTCCATAGTTAAAGGCGCCACTTAACTCCTCTGGCCTGTACTTGAGTTGCAGGTCCAGGACTCATCACCTCATCAGAATGGCCGTTTCCTTCAGGATGGCAGCAGACATGATAGCTGCGTCTTATTCTGCTTGTTTAGGTGTGAGCAGAAGGAAAGAATGAGAGGAACATTCATCTCTGCCATTGCCTTTTCACAGAAATCGAGAGGAGTAAAGTGTAATTCAGCCCAAGACATGGAAGTTTGGTGCACTGGAGAGTGGTGGTGGGATGGAGAGACAGAGACATAGAGAGAGGCACAAACAGAGACACAGATAGACAGAGAGAACTATGTTGTGTGTGTTATATACACAAATGCACCTACAGAAATAGCCTTTTCCACAAAGTATACTTGTTACAAAAGAAAACATTACATTTTTATTTTCAAAATAAGCCTGTATGTGAAAATATACTTTAAAAACTTGCAATTTGTTACTTTTAAAATCCAGATGCAAGGATATCCACTTTAAACACAACACAAAAATCTCTCTGTATTTTTCAGTCTGTGTCTTTAAATCTCATTTAGAATTTCAAAATCACTTTATTGAAATCAGGTTATGGGGCTGTAGAGATGCCTCAGCAGTTAAGAGAGTAAAGGACCCAGTTAAATTCTGAGCAAACACATTAGACAGCTCAAAAATACCTCTAACTCTAGCTACAGGCCTATGTGAACATAGCACTCATGGCACACACACAACACACACACACACACATACAAAACTCGTGTGCTCAATTACAAATTCAAAACAAAATACTTTTAAAAAGAAATCAAAATAACTTTTATTCATCTACTTAGATTTTCTCCAAAAAGGAAGGTGGTAAAAAAGGCTGCAGGCCAGTGGAAACTGGAGATGGATACCCAGCACAGAAGTTTTTCTTTGCATCCATTAAGTTACATTAGTCACAGGAATGCACAGTCACGTTCAAGTTGTTGTATAACTAAATCTTCTGTTCATGACTGATCCTCATTGGGTGTATGAGTTAGCACCGTGCTACTGAGACATTACTGTGGAGTAAAGGGAGTTGGGTCATTAGCACAGTGACTTTATGTTGCATTCACCATGTAGGTATGCAAAGCCTTCTCCAGAAAACTTAGATTTTAAATTTTAGTAATGTGAGATGTGATAAATTTCAAACAAGCATTTGAATGAATGATGCCTTGTGTTTCTATTTATGTAATGTTAATTTTGAATGCTTGTGTGGCCTGTGACAAGCACATGGATGAAGTAGCAGACTATTTTTCTTTCCATCCCTTTCTATTTCTTGGTGCTGCTTACCAGTCCAGTCCTCTTCTTGACTCCTGATGCTCTTCCTTTCTTCTGTCCTTGGAATATATAGTCTTTCCCATGACTCCTCCCATTAATGAAGTCACATGGAACAAACTTCTAAGCTTCTAGTCTTGTGTGGAAGTTCTAAGGACTTTTCACTGTTAGCATATTTGTTCATCTTTACAATACTACTGTGAGGTAGATAGGAGATAAGTGATTCTTACCCTCGTTCTGCAAAAACACCAACAAAATGTAAAGGAAAAGCGACTGACTGAGGTACACAGCATCTGAAGCAGGAGCGTTGTGCTTTGTTGTCCTGTGTAACAAACTGAGCTCTTTGCCTATGTCACTTGAAAGTCCCTTGATCCACATTGCAAGTAGGTTCACCTTGGCCAACTGAATTTGTTCTCCTGAGTATGAAATGGTGAGAACTGTGTTCCAGCTTAACATTTGGTTCTCTTTATTTAGAGATTTTTTTTAGCTCATAAGGTGAGTCCAAAAGTATTACTGTCCTTGACAACACTATTTTCCCTCAGGGACTCTGACTAAAGGGCATCCATCCGAAGGTGACTGCACAGAGCATCTGGGCAGAGCTTTCATCCTCCCCTCAGAGTGATCCTGAGGGCGGTTCAGAGTCTACCAACATTCGTCCTTTTGTGGCACCATCTAACAAAGTAACAGCCAAGCAGGAGTCAATGTTGAAGGCACTTCAGGAAAGAGACTGAGAAAGAAGACTCTTTATTATTTTTTTTTAATTTTTTGCTTTTGGCGCATTTGATATGACCCCTATTGTCCACACCTCCTTTTCAGTCTTGACTAGACTACTTGCCTTTCTTTGGTTGTGCTGTCTCCAAGTGATCTTATTTATTTCTGGCTTCTCTTTCTTTACACTGTCGTGTTATCTCCCATTGCTTTTTCATTTTTAAACTAAATAAGGCACAGAGTTATTTCAGGTCCTCAGGTCTGGATTTCCATCTGAACAGAATATGCTCTCCATTAATGCCACTGATTAAAGCACCACTGACCTTCACATCAAGATAAGCCAGACTTTCTTAGGTCAATCTGGTTTTTATGTTTTGTTTTGGTTTGTTTTTTACAGTTTTTGGCTTTTTTTTTCTAGGCACTCTAATTTGGTGACTTTATTGCTCAATAGGAAGCAGAAGTTTGCCCAGATACATGGCAGTGTTGACAAAATCCTCAGCAATCACTGATCCTTGGGGCAAGGTGTGAAAACAGGAAGGACATGACTAAGTAGAAAGAAAGCATAACCAAAATAAAAGAAGACACACAGCTCTTTGGAGTCACTAAATATGGAAGACAGAGCTGCGAGCAAACAAGATTATAAAATACATGAAGCATGCGGCAAGTGGCCACAAATTACGTGTTTTTCCGAAGCCACTCGGCCATCCTGGCAATTCTCTTCTTGTTTTTCAGATTCTCCGTCTTTATTGCCTGTAATTTGGCATGAGCCGCAGGCCTCTGATGCTCCTCCAACACAGTTCCCAGGAACCGCTGCAACTGGAAGGACAGAGACAATTGGTCAGTGCCACCAAACTTCTCACTGGCACAAAAGAAAACACAGTTCCTAGAACAAAGCAAAACAACTTTGTAAAGAAGCAGCAGTGGTTGGAAGGACCTTCATGTAGACCTCCATCGTGTGACCTTGGGGAGGCTGTGACTGAGACAGCATGATTAAGACCATACATCCCCAGAAGGATGAAATGTCCGCTGGGATGTCCATGAAGTCAGAACTGGCTCTTATTAGTTCCTTTATTTTCAAAGTGCACCATAGCTCCCAACAAATAGTTACTGAACGTGTATTGGATGATGTGCAAATTTTGTGAACAGAGACACAGTGAGACCCTTTTGTATTTCAAAGAACTTGGTAGCTTCCAGAGGTCAATATCGATGGCTCTTTTTATGTCTTTATAGATGTTATCCTCCATCCCTGCATATTTTAATCAAGTTGGCACTGTTTGTAGATGGCATCAATTTTATTTATCTGAACTAATAAACAATTCAGTGAAGTTTCAGAAAACTAATATGCAAACACCAGTACTGATGGGCGGGGGAAAAATAGCTCAGTTGACAAAGTGTTTGTCATGTAAGCATAAGAATCTGAATTTAATTCCCTCATTAAAATGTGGGGCATGGTAGCATGCTGTAGATATGATTCAAGCTATCAGGCTCCATCCCAAGCCGGCTTCTGTGCTTGGCAGCATTGTCCGAGTGAATCTAGGTTTAGAGTCCTGAAGGATGCACATGCAAAGGGGTTATGGAGTCTTCCTCCATGGCTCCATGGTTAAGGAAGGCCACTGAGGTCAGGCAACACGTGGATGGACAGTCCCTGCATGAGGGCTCTGAGAAGACAAGAGACACTGAGAGGCCATTGTGTGAAGCTGTGCAACTGAAACCTGGGCTGCACTGGAGATCCCAAGATATTAGAGATGCCAGAGCCAAAGACACCTTCAGACATGGAGTGGAACTAAGCCAAGAGAGATAAGTGTGTTACAGGCAGCAAAGCTGGAAGGGCAATGCCATCTGCCCCATTTGATGCTGTACATAGAGCTATGGGATTTGGAGTCTGCCCTGCTGGGATCCTGTGTTTCTTTGATCCACTATTTTTTCGTTATGCCCCCATTCCTTCCTTTTGTAATGGTACTCTATATTATGTGCCATTGTATGCCAGAATCATGTAATTTTCTTCTTGATTTTATAGGACATTGTAATTAAGAGAATGCCTTGAATCTTAGAAGAGACTTTAACTTGGGACTTTTAAACAGTTGAAACTGAACAACAATGCGTACCTTGGATTTTGAACTAAATACATTTATTATTATTGTTATTATTATTATTATTATTATTATGATGATGATGATGATGATATGACCACAAGCCTATGGGAGCCAGGAAGCAGAATGTGGTGGTTTAAATGAGAATGATTCTTATAGGTTTATAAGTTAGAATGTTTGATCCCCAGTTGATGTAACTGTTTGGAAAGAATTAGGTAGTGTGGCCTTGTTGGGAATGTGTGTCACTGGGGGTGGGCTTTGAGATTTCCAAAGCCCATGCCATTCCAGTTGGCACTCTCCTGTTTCTCTGCCTTGCGCTTGTGGATCGAGATGTAAGCTCTCAACTACTGCTCCAGTACCTGCCTGGCTGCTGCCATGATCCCCTCCATGATGGTCATGGACTCTAACTCTGTAAGCAAGCCCCTAATAGACTCTTCTGTAGGTCACCTTGGTCATGTCTGATCAAGGCAACAGAAAAGTAACTAAGACAGAAGTGCCAAGGGGAGTAAGTGACTCCAGAGGAACAGATTTGTAAGGTCAAATTTGTTAACTATCCAGAACAGACTTTAGAATTCACCAACATTTACAGTTCTTGAAGATCCTTTGGTAATATGGACAGCACTGAAAGCCCATTGTTAGAAATATATGGGGGGAAAAGGAATTTGGTGATTATACATATAACCTTTGCAACTTAAGGAAAAATCATAATACTGGCTTGTTGCTTCTAGTACCTCTGGATAAATTGGCAAAGGAAAGAATGAGTTTATGATTAAAAATTAACCGACCAACTTTTGTATCTCAGGACACTGTGATAAAGGGAAAGAATGAACTCTGTGGTCAAATTAACCAACTTATAGCATCTCTAGATATAGTGGCAAGAAAATAATCAACTCAGTGATACAGCTGACTCGCTCCAAATGCACAGAACAAGTCTAAAAGTTTCTGGGTGTGTCCTGGAAGAGAATCTTCTTTCCAGTATCCATAGAACTCAAGTTTCAGAGAATCAAACCAGAGCCCTCATTATACAGTTGGCTGAATCAGAACAAAAACTCACATCTCAAACTTGGAATGTATAAGTTGTTAAAGTAAGGGCATTGATTGGTAAGGAGTAGGATCCTGTGGCATCCACTGGACATGTGCAAGAGGATCCTACTTGTGGCTGAAGACTGGGAACCTCAGATCCTCAAAGGTTTATCTCACCCGAGGAAGTCATCTCTCCACCCTTAGCAGAGGATGCATCTGTACTCCCTTGTCCTGTAATATTGATCTTTCTGCCTTTGCCTGAGGAAACTAACCCTTACTGTATGTCCAACCAGGAGAAAGCTCTCCTGAAGGAGATGCCAGACTAGAGAAGGACCTTCAATAGTTGCCTCTATGCCTATAACCAGGCTTAAGGCTGATCAGGCTCCTAGAGAGGAGATAAAAAGTGTATGTAGCCCATGAGGAGGTATACTACACCACTAAAGAGCCTATTCTGGCTATGGATTTGCCTTTCATGCACATACTGCTTCTGCCCAAACAACCATTCATGGACTCTACAGGATGCCGTCTCCACCGTCATGGTACTCCACACAACATGGCTTCTCACTAAGGAACTCATTTTATAGCCATAGAAGTGTGACAGTGGTCCTACAGTCATGAAATTCACTGGTCCTACCATGTTCCCCATCAACCTGAAGCAACCTGTCTAATAGAATGATGGATTGACCTTTTGAAGACACCATTACACCACCAATTAAGTGGTAGTATCCTGGAGGGCTGGGGCAAGGTTCTCCAGAATGCAGTGTGTGCTTTGAATATACATCCAATATATGGTATTATTTCTCCATAGCCAATATGCATGGGTCCAGAAACCAAGGGAGGGGTGGTGAAGGAACTGGCTTCATTCACTGTCACCCTACTGTCCCACTAGGGAATTTTTTCCTTAAGTTTGATTCCAGATGGAAGAGAACCCCTGCCTGAAGATATAGCAAACATTCCACTGAACTGGAAGCTCAGATGCCCCCCCCGCCACTTTGGGTTTCTGATGCCCTTAAGCCAACAGGAATAACATCGTTAGGAGTAATTGATCTAGACTACTAATGGGCTCTTGGGTTGTTTCTGCACAATGGAGCTGAGGAAGATTATGTCTGGAGTGCAGGAGATCCTTTAGATCAGTGGTTCTCAACATTCCTAATACTGTGACCCTTTCATATAGTTCCTAATGGTGGTGGTGACCCCCAACCATAAAACTATTTCATTGAAACTCTATAACTGCAACTTTGCTACTGTTATGAATCGTAATATAAATATCTGATATGAAGGATATCTGACATGTGGCCCCCAAATAGGGTCTCAACTCACACATTAAGAACTGCAACTTTAGAGCATCTCTTGATGTTATCATGTCTTATGATTAAAGTAAAAGGAAAACTACAATAAAGCAACCCAGGCAGGATGACAAAGGGCAAAGACCCTGAAGAATAAAGGCAGGATCACTCCTGCAGAAAAAGAGCTAAGACCTGCTGAGGTGCTTGCTGAGGGTGGAGGAAATAGACAATGGGCAGTAGGGGAGAGAAGGTAGTTATAAATCCAGCTAAGGCCATGCGAGCTGTGAGCAGGTGCAGAAACAATAATTAGAATTGACTTGATTGTGTTTGTCCTATTTTGGTAAGAATGTGTTGTGCATATATATATATATATATATATATATATGTATGTATGTATGTATATATATATATGATGTTTCCTCTGTTTTTATCATGTAATATAATATCAGTTTAAGTAGTAACCATAGTTATCATATTTAAGTTATAAGACACTAAAAGAATGTCTCCTAAGTGACACTGCCACCTACTCTCAAATATATTATACATTTGTGGATGGTTATATCATGTTAGCCATAATTATGACTTGATTATTGCTTTTACTTAGAAATTAAGTATGACAAAGGAGATATTGCATTTTTAGTTAACAAAAAAATGGACGTGTAATAGCTATTCTTGGTTGTCAACCTGACTACATCTGGAATTAACTAAGACCCAGGAGCCCCTGCACTCCTTATGAAGGGTTTTTCATAGCCAAATTATTTGAGGTGGAAAGATCCACCATATCTTCTGGTGGCAGGCCACATAGAAGGGCATAGAAGAACGAATCATTTGCTTTTTGCTTACTTGCCCTCATTCTCATTGTCAAGTTCATCCTATTCCTGAGACTCTCCTTCCCTAGTGTTAGAACCTGCTTCTTTAGGATTCCAATGCAGACTGAAGCCTGGTGGCTCTTTAGAACTTTCTTGGCATTCCAGCACTAGATTGCAACTGCTGAGACATCCAGTCATGTGAACTTAACAACTATGGGATCTTTGGCCTTTTCATCAGGAGACAGCCATACAGCCATAGTGGGCTTCTTGAACTACAGCTTGTAAGCCACTCTGATAAATTCCATTTGTGGTGTGTGTGTGTGTGTGATGAGAGAGAGAGAGAGAGAGAGAGAGAGAGAGAGAGAGAGAGAATGTAAAATTCTATCAGTTTTGTTCCTTTATAAAACTGGGCTAATACAATACCAATAATATTAACAAAGTATAGAGTGAGATGAATCAGATAAGTGTATGATTTTTAATTTCAGCAAGTCAAATTACATCAAAAGTGCTTCCCAAATACCAATGTACTTCCCACTACTTTCAGTACTTACCTCCATAACCTGTAGGTCTGTACTTACAGTCCTCCCTATGACCCACACTAGAGCATCCAGTGTTTGTGGTCCATACCTGCAAAGCAGCAAAGTGCCAGTTAGAGGACAACAGTACCTGGCAAAAAGCTGCATGCTTTAGCAGTGGATAAACACTACATATGCAGCCCCATCAAGACACCCTCACAAATCTGAGTGAAACCATGGATGAACTCATTCAGCTTCCCCTTTAAGTAGGAAAGCTCCTACATAGAGAATCATAACACTAAATAAATAGTTATATATGCTGTTTTGTGCAACATAGTTTGCAGTATAATTTAAATATTAATATATTTCTTTAAATCAACAATTACATGCATCTATTCTACAGGCAGTTAGGATTTATAAGGGTGTAAATAAGCAAATGATGTCCCTCCAGAAGTGAGAGCAAAAATATGGAATATATTTCAAACCCACTGACTAAAATGCCCTATGGTATATTTAAAGTTAAATTGTTGGGGTTTTTTTTTTTGGAGTGTTCATTTCTGTCTTCTGAGTCTCAAGATGTCACATTACTACAATTGCTCTAACTCCATTTAGGAAACAAAGATTGTCAAGGGTTACAAAGAAAGAACAGATACATACCAGTACAAAATACTGCTGTAGCATGCAAGGAAAAAAGAAATTTTGGTTGTATTAAAAAAGAAAACAAATTTGAAATAGGATTATTGTAGTGGACAGAACAAGAAATGGTCAAGTTGTTGGAAGTTACTATATGTAATTTATTTACTTCAAAAACTATAACTGTGAATTTTCAAACTGTAAGAGTTATTATTGTCAGAGTTAGTTATCTATAGAAATCAGAGTGAGAGAAACTGGCTGCTTGGCCTCTCCAAGTCCTAGATGTAATGGAAGCTGAAGCTACCTGAGTGACCAGGGCCTTGTGTGCAATTCAGGTGGGCAAAGCTGGGCCTGTAACCATTGCACTCCATTTTAATTAGCCAAGTAGAGAGTAACGTATGAAACAATACAGGAACCAAGTTTCCTAACAAAGCAAAAACAAACAAACAAACAACAACAAAAACCAAGTTCCAGACAGGAAATCTGTCTGCTGAGCTACACCTGTGACTTCTCTACCAGACACCAGAGAAAACTCACATGAAAAGGCAGGAGGAGGGCCGCCCTGATAGATGTGGTGATTGTGGTCATATTATAGCTGGCCCCGCCCCTTGTTTGCTGATGTCAAGAGGCAGGGGTGAGTTTTGCAGTTACCTCGAGCAACTGTTCGATTGTAAAATGAGACTAACATGGAAACATCACCCTGAGGATTTGGCCAGTCACCAGGTCTGGGAGGATCTGCTGGAGTCCCTAGTTCATCCCACTCCTTATTCACCAACTTCAAGAACTCTTTTTGATAAACACATGGTTTACTACTCTAGCTTGAGAGCTTATCTCTTGCAATATTGATGATCAAAACATATATACTATAAGAGGTTTATCCTTACCAGTTTCCAATGTAGTTTAATTGTTATGAAGACAAAAACCAGTGCATGCCAATATAGTTAGTTGTCTTACATACTTATTTACTGACTTTGAGACAGGGTCTCACTATGTGCTAGAAATCTCTAAAGATCACATTGGCCTCAGACACACAGAGATTTGCCTGCTTCTGCCTCCCAAGTGCTGGGATTAAAAGTGTGCACCACCAAGCCCAGATAGTTAGCCTTTTAAAAAAGGGGGTGCTAGAAATACTTAGTCAACATGTATTCAGGAGTTAAGACAATGAAGGGACATATCCAGGACCCTTCCTGACTCAAGAGAAATGTAGGCATATTTGTACATGTGTTACAATAATCATTTGCTAAAAACAGACAATATAGACTGAAGGTGGTATTACAAAATGAATATCTATCATTAATGTTGAAAGCAACATATAGATATTGCTTGATAACCAAGTAAGTTTGTAGTACGATTGTTATCTGAGTCTATTGGAACCAGTGACTTAATCCTTTGTAAAACTCTGTTAAAGATTTCTGTAAAGTATCTTTTCCCCCATGCTTTCTATGCTGCCTAATAAATACAGATAAAAACTCTTCTTGTGGGATAGACATGGATACACTCAGACAGATGGACACACTGGGACAGAAGCAGACACAAGGACAGATTCACAAGACAGTATTCAGGCAGGCACAGATTAAGTCTTGTTCAATAGACAGAAGAGGATAAAAGATACAAATAAGGAAAGCAGAGGAATCAAATGTGGGCTCACTGTTGGTTAGAGACACCAAGAGGAAGAGTTTAATTTCTTTCCTTAATTCAACACTGATGTATTATTGGTATCCCTGAGTTTGTCCTTAACATATTCAAGCCAACTTCACTTTTAGATTAATAAGGAAATTCTAAGGCTTTATTAAAACACAATAGCTGCCATTTCATAGAAGACAAAACACAACCCTAATCACCAGTTAGTAGAAAAACAATAGACCATTGTTGTTGCACTTGAAGATTAAGATGATAGAGCTGAAAAACATTGTCTCTCATAGCTCTCTTTTCCCTGGGCCAACTGGTCTACTAGCAACTGAATACTTCACTGGCATTGGTATATTTATGACTAGGCTCAGAAGGTCTGTGCCTTTAACATATGAGATAGCTGAAATTATAGAAAACTCTGTGTTCCAATCTTGGAAATTTTATGATGCTAAAATAAAAGATAAGTTTATAAAAAATAAAGTATTGGATTGTAAAAATTTTCAAAGCTGTGTCTTTTGAATCTGCTTTGTCATGAAGATTGGTGATATATTCATGCTCAATGCAGACTATAACTTTAATAAGCCTTAGATATTCTGATGTGTAAAGAGATAAGTAAACATTCCTATGTCCTGTAAGTGTATGTATTTTTAATTTGAACTTCTGCTTTCAACAATTCATAAATTTTACTGTTTATTCAGACAAAACCATTAGCAAAATTCAACAAGCCTTCTAATGTAAATTAAGCCATAAAAATAAATGTATTCAATTTTTAAATCAAATTTAATTGAGCATAAAACACTCAATGTAGTAGAATGTGCAAAAGGAGTGAGCTAAATTCAATTTATCATAAACATAGCATCTTCTATGAATTTGGTGTTCTCTGGAATAAAATATAAAAGTAATGAAGCCACAGTTAAAAGTTCATGCACTAATAATCCTACAAACTTCAAGTGTTTTTTTAGGGATTCCTCGTGTGGTTGTATTAAATGTGCTTATATAGGTCAATTAATTCAACTGTGTGACAATCAACTCAGGAGAGTAGAATTTAAGTCTTAGTAGGAAATCATCAACCTTTTCCTGTTCTCTAAAGGCAAGCAACATTCTTGTGAAGAGTAAAAATTACATGCAAAGCCACTTAAATTAAAAGCAGCCTTTCCCATTTCCCTTTATTAAGGCCCTTGAGGTAGGGCATAAATTCAGTGCAGAAAAAAATTACACAGGTATCATAGGAATATCATTATCTGTCTTTACCCTGCACCTACGTTCTCTTACACTTACCATTACTATGACACATGGTCAGAATGACTGAACCAACCATGCTTTTATTTTGAAGTGAGAAATCTATTCAGCTAGAAACAAGCTCTCCTCATTTTCCAGTCTAGCGACTTCGATGGCTAAAGAGGTGCCAATGTGAGGCTGCATCACGGCAGGACAAGAGCTGTCTCCATGGCCCAGGTGACACCATTCATTTATATCTGGACTCAGCGAGTTGTTTAATGCCATTTGAGGTTTGAATTTGCACCCAAGCTTTGTGTGAAACAAGTCAGTCAAGGGATGGGTGTAGACTCATCAGTGATGCCCCACTGGCTTCAGCACCATGGTGGAGATGTTCTTCAGCCAGGCTGTCCAGTACGGTACCCTCTAGTCACACTGGACACTTCAAACAGGGATAATAGAACTGACACTGAATTTTCATTTTTTAAAAATGTTAATTGATGTAAATTTAAATGTCCACATGTTACCTAGTGGCTATGAGATTGAACAAGGTAGCCTTATGTGTTTGTTTGTTAGGGTCTTACACTGTAGCCCAGACTGGCTTGGAAATCATTATGTAGCTCAAGTTTGCCATGCAGTAATGGTCATCCTCCTGCTTCAGCCTCCCAAGTGGGAATCCAGCATAAGACACCACGCTCAATTCAGCTTTATCTAATTTAGAAGACTGTATCAATGGGGCCCAAGATAAACTTTGCTCGAGTCATTTGGGAAACCAGTAAAAGGTAGACTTTCTATCCTATCCCAGTTTTCAAGGGGTAGGTGGGCTTGGGAGCTTACGTGTTTGACAACTACTCTTTGTGACTCTGAAGCTCTGCCAAATTTGAGATTCGCTTCCTCAAGCCCATTTGTCCTTGGGGGTCAAACTAGGGGTGAGAGGCACAACCTCAGTGAGCCGTGATGGTAATACTGTCCTTAACATCTGTAAGTGGTATAAGTGCACACTAAGCTTGGAAGGAATCTGTGACCTTTGCCTTCCTTGTCACACAGTCAGAAGGAACATGGACCATGACACACGCATCCTCCTGGGTGGCTTTGTGTTTATTATTTATTTAATTATTTATAGATTTGGGTGGTGGTAACGGAACCCAGAAATTCATGTGTGCTAAGCAAGTCTTCTACTGTTGAACTACACCCAGGCATGTGTGTGTGTGTGCCTAGTAAGAATTTATTATATGTATATATATATATGTGTGTGTGTGTACATATATATATATATATATATATAATTTATTAGGGATATATATATATATATGTATATATATATATATTCATTACTAGAGTTGCAAAACATGGGCTCCAAGATGGGGACAAGATAGAGACCCTTACATCGCCATTGCCTAGAGGCCAATAAGACATGCAAAGCACCTGGCCACTGTAACCCACTGACTATAACCCTAAAAACATGACATAGTTTCACCTTGAAAACTCTTGGAAAGGAGGGTGCACTTGGGTCTTCAACAGTATCAGACAGACCCAGACTCAGGAATAGAGTTTACAATCCAAAGGCTGTAACAACATTAAGGTCATCACTATGGTTGTCAACCTTATTGACTTCTCTAGCTGGCCCCTTGTGTTGTTCTTTTTGGCCTTCTTTATTGGACCCTGTGTGATAAACATCTTAATCAAATTTATCCAAGCTAGAATACATTCAGTTAAATTAATAAATTAAGAACCCACTATAATCCAATGCATACTTAGTTCAAGATCACACAGGTGCTATCAAGCTGATATTCTAAGGGCACAGTACAACCCCTTATGCCAGCCCCTAAATGGAGATTCGACTCGTGTGTGTGTGTGTGTGTGTGTGTGTGTGTGTGTGTGTGTGTGTGTGTTCCTAAATAAAAACAGTTCAGTCCACATGTTACTTCTATGCATGTTTTCAGGGCTGACCATTTGGCACTGGACAACCAAGTGCCTCCCCTGTCCCAGCTTTGCTCAGTGGCCTATAGTTCTTTGTATAGTGTTGAGGCCTCATGGGCTTTTCTTTGTTGAGCTGAGTGTGTTCATTGATGTCCTATTTAATGGCAACTAGAGGAGTTAGAAGGAAGTTGTGGAAGAAAAGTTAAGGACCTTAAGCAAGCTGAGCAAAGTCACCAATGGGTTCACAGATGCGGCAGAGTTAGATTGGTGAGACCTAGGGTGTGCCTGAGACCAGTGAGCCTTTCTTACAAGCTCAAGGGTAAGAGAACAGGGAATATCAGACAGGTTGGTGAGGCTTGATCTCTGAAACCATGTACAAAAAGGAGATGTGTGTATGTAATCCTAACTTAAAATTCAACTTCTACACTCCTAATAGGGGGGTTGCTAAGTGGACTATCATTAATGATTAAAAATGGAAACCATAACTCATACCCTAATTCTTAGAGATCTCAGAAAATGTAAATAGAAAATTCATGTGGTTTGTTAACACAAGAAACCAAGAGTTAGATAACCTTAGCCAAAAGATAGGAACAATATTTTCATAATATGAGTATAATATGTATGTATATGAGCTGAAGAAATGGTGTGGTATAAATGAGTTTTCATCTAATAGCTTTAAATTTTTTAACGCATAAAACCTCATCCCTTTTCATGTTCTAAATGTGTCCAATAAGTATTTACAAACCATCCATTACTTTGTTCTATGAGATATTAAGACACATCTATGGCCTTGGGTATTTATATTCCAGCCATCTGGACATGGTGGGTACACAGTCACCTGGCTACAATCCTAGCCCTTTGGAAGTTACACATGAAGTTGAAGACTTAAAAATTTTTCAGCTACATAGTGAATTCAAGGGCTTGCCCTTACATAAGATCCCGTTTCAAAACCAAACAAAAAATTACAGCCTGAATATGAATTTATTCTGAAGGAATAAACTTCTTTGCAAAAGGTATCTTCTATCTTTTTAGGTGCTTGGACCTCATCCATGTTTTAGCTAAATCTATAGTGCCTGAGTACATGCATGGATTATTAATTTTTATCTTTTAAAATATATGGCTATGTAATATTCTAGGAGCAGCAGCCATCAAGGGAATACTCTCTGATTTTTACATGCTAATATTAATTTTGCTGAACAGAAGATAACCTAGGAAGGAAGCAGCTCTAATACTAAAGGGTAAAAAATGTAAAAACTCAATAACACAGAATCCAGATAAAGAAACGAAATCTAGCCAACATTAGTAAAATTTGCAGCATTCAGGTTAATGCTGTGATACTGTTTCTTAAAGTCATGTGATATGCTTCATGAAATACTGAATGGTGGTTGTATGCTCATACCAAAATTATGACTTACTCAAACTAAGGTTTCTTAAGAAAAACTTTTTGATGGGCATAATAGGGAAACTGAGCTAGATAATGACATCCATTTTTGTACAGAAAGCCAAAATTAAAGATAAGTGATCTTTTGTGTTTTCTAGTGTGTGGTGAGACAAAATACAGGAAAAACTCATCACCTTTCTAGTGAGTGAAAGCACTTTTTTTGACATAACCAGACTAAAGATGAACTTCTCCATAGTCAGTGACTGAGGGTACCAAGAGCATCAGCAATAGCCTATAATGTTTGGGGTGTTCATTAGACCCCACTGACCAACACTTTGAAAAGGGATACCCCATACCAGGCACCAGGCGTTTTATTTGCTAGCCTATGTTGTCTGGGAGGAACATTGTTGCCCCTTTACAGAAAGGCCGTCATGCATGCATATACTGACAGCACCAAGTGGCTTAAAAAGGAGAAAGAAGACATGGAGTGGGAGGGAATAATGTGAGTGGGCAGGGGCAGGATCAAAAGGGAGGGGTAGGGGGTGGGTTTGATCAAAGCACACATTACACACATTTGAAATTATCAAACAAAAAATAAATAAATTATCCAAACTATATTCTCTGATCAAAATAGGAAAAAATAACAGTTAATGACCTAAATGAAATTGAGGTCTTGGGTTCCTTCTTACCTTTCAATCACAGCTAGCCAATTGTTGATTAGAAAGTCCTTTGCAACGTACCAACCAACTTCAAGTGATGCCACAACTTCTATTATGTTTGTTTCATTAAAAGGGGATGGAGACATGGTGATGGCATACTCCATAAATCTATAAGAGTCCAGGTGTGAAAATATAAACAGGCTTTAAAAATTCCATGAAAATTAACTCTTCATGGGATTTTCAAAAGCACATGGTTCTAAGTTAGTAATGCACAAATATGTTTGTCCCCTCCCCCCATTTTGTCCCTCTGTTTTGGGATATGGATTATGATTCTCCAGCAAGAATGTTCAAGGTCAGTTGAGTGTATCACCTGTTAAGTGTCCATGGCTCTTTACTGCAACTCAGTGCATAAATAAGATGGGCCCTTCCCTCTTCTTCTTCTTCAGTTGTATTGATGTAAAATCTTAGCAAAAAGTCCCACTCCTTATCGCTTCCCAAAGCAATGCCATTGCATAAAACCACTTTTTCAATCAGATGAGGTATTCTGAAAGGCATAACAGGAGAAGGCATTTCCCATGGTAGCTCAGGAACAGTCATCCCACTGTTTCAGAAGCAGAAATTTAGTAAAGTTACTTGATATCTGAGCCATAAATGTTAAAGAGCTAAAGAAGAAAGTGAGGGAGCTACCATTAGCATTATGATACAGTCATTCATTCAGCAGAGTGGTTGAATTTTCAAAGAAGTAAATCATAATAGGGCAATATACATCAATAAGGTAGTTTAGCCTTGGGTCTCTTGATCTATTGAAAGGCAATAGTCCCAAACACCAGAGTCTCAGGTCTTAATAAGACTGCAAACTCCCATAGGAGTGAGGGGTTCCAATATCACAGATACAACATTACCAAACAAAACTAAAGAGCAACCTATTAAGATATAAAACAAGCATTAACAAGACCTGCCAATCTATAAGTGCTTAGTAGAAGAATAAGACATCAGCAGCCAAAGGCCACGGTCTCAACTCATGCGGAATGAGTCCTACTCTGTTTTTATACCCAGCCCTAATTTTAGATAATCTTTTTTTTTTTTTTTTTTCACTCAGGAGGTAGAGGCAGGCAGATGTTTGTGAGTTTGAGGCTAACCTGGTCTACAGAGCTCGTTCAAGGACAGCTAGGGCTTTTACACAGAGAACCCCTGTCTCAAAAAACAAAGAAACAAACAAAAAGATAATTTAAGGAAAGGGTGTCTGAAAAGGATTTGAGAAGCTCAACCAAATGAAAGCAAAAATACATGATCACTCCCAATTATAAGTACACCACCAAGACAGAGGAACATTGTGGCAAGACAGAGGAACAGTGGACTTTGACCTAGGAGCTGAGCAAGGAGCTCTACACTGTAGCTCTTACGCAGTGTCTGGATCTGCCATCCATTTTCGGAAGAGCTCTTTGGACAGCTGTAGACAGTCTTCAAGACCCAACCAACAGGCAGTTTCGAACATTTTTTCCAGTGACAGTCTTGAGGGAAAAGTCAAAGTGGAGCTGTTAATTTTGAATCACCACCATCATTTCTTTCTGCTTCTGAGAATGTGTGTTTCATAGGACAATGAGAACTTTAAAATATCCTCTAGTAACATCAAGTTTCTCTTTTTAAAAAAAGCTTGTATTAGCTGATCCTACATTCCAAACAGCTGGACAAAACAGCCCTACAGACTACAGCTAGGATATCTGAATCTTCTTCGAATCCCCCAAGACAGTGCCCCTTACCAGCAGGAAGTAGTTTGGAAAGAACGACGCCCAAATTCCCAAATATTGTGTATAAATGTTTGTTTTCATTTAATTGGACTTTGTTATATAAAATTAAATAAAAAATACTCTATATGCATAAAAAATAAAATAAAATACATATGGGGAAAAAAAAAGCTTGTATTATGACGAACTTGTTAAAGATAAAAAAACATTTTCAGAGATTTTGGGCACCAGAAAAGCTCTTCACAATTAGTAATTGTTTTGAAATTAGAAATAAATTATTACAGTCACACGGGTGTGCCCACTCTCCACATCTGCTGTCAATTTACTTTCCCCCTATTACAATAATCCCTTTATGGATTAAAAATATCCATGGCATACCCGATCTAATATGCTGAAAAAAATTAAGATTCTTTCTTTATTCAAGAAAAATTCCTTTCTCCCCCTGTATGGTTTGCTTTCCCTTACTAAGCATCTGATTCTTCCTCCTGTCAAATATCGTGTGCATGTACAAAGAGAAACAGAGGAGTTTGGTTTATCTTTACAGCTAAGCAAGGGTCTGCATTCCTGTTCAAAATGAGTTCAGAGAAGGGCCCTAAACAACAATGAACACACGGAAGCCAGGCTTTGTTGTGTGTCTTGCCACAGCCATCAAGTTTGGGGGCTGGGCAAAAGAAGCCAGATAGAAAACAAATGCTAGTGTCATCTGGCCCACCCTTCAGTCTCATCTCGCCTGACCTGACATTGAGATAAGCAATTAGGAGATCTGCGTCAGCCGAGGTCCCCTGACAGATACTCTTAGAAATTTGTTTATGTGTTCACTCCCTCTCCCCACCCATCACAAACTTGGGCTAGCTGCAGCAAAATGGGATTCTGTGAAAATCAACCTCTCCCAGACGTGGCTGGAGAAGAAACCCTGGCTCAGGATGCTGCAAGTGTCAGCTACTTCAGCGTGCTTCGGCAGAGCCTACACGGTGTCTGGTTTACACACAGGCTGCACGATTGAGTGCCTTTGTGTCTTCCTGATGTTCACACATATTACCCTCATCCCCATACCATCTATGGACTTACCTATCAATTCTATGGATATCTAGGTGTAGACTATGCCACTAATTTCTACTTCCTGAGCAGGGTACTACTGAGTAAGAATGATCGTATTTTTGTGTATTTTTTATTCCTCATTTGGTTTGATTGATTTAAGTTTGATTTTTCTACAAGCTGTAGCTGTAGTTGTTGGCTACCACCACCTCCAAGTCTAGAATTTTAACATACACACACAAATGGAACAGAGGCACCATAGCCTCACATGGCCTTTTCACCTCCTTCCTAAACCATCATGAAAATGTACTTACTCCCCCACTGGACAGTCATTTGCAGTAATTAAAGATGATCATATACAAGTGAATAATATTGTCAACCTAGTTCATGTTTGCATCATGGTAGAATTCTTGCTAACAATAATAATACAGAGAAATATTAGGTAATTAGTTAGAAACTAGCAGACTGAAAGGACCTGGAGGATGGACCCCCCCCTTGCAAATCAGCTCTAATCCCTCATCCCCTGTGTCCCTAGTAACACATCAGTGATGGATAAAGGAAGGGGAAGAGTCACAATTGTCTCTCTGTAAGATTTAAGACATCATATGAAGGGGAAGGAGGTGGGGGTAACAGAGCTTTAAGAAGGCTGTTTCTTCCTCATAAAACCTGTATTTTTATAGATTTTTTTCTTGTTTTTTGTTTTAGTCTGCCCTGCTATATAAGTTTTAGTCAAAAGAATAGGGTAAGAGTTGTGTCTCTGGCCCTGTGTAGAGCTGTGACTTTATGAACTGCCAGAAAAATTCCCATCTAGCAGGAGGCTTTCTGATAAAGAGCAAAGATGAAACGTTAGCTCTTCATTTGAGGGTTAATCCAAAGAGGCTGGCCATGGAAATTACCCCTCAGATAAGGTTTAGTTCACAACATACACTGACAATAATCTCTCTTGACATTGTCTATTTTCGTCTCTTAAGATTATTCCACGTGACACTGCAAGAAACTCTGTCTTCTACACTAAGTCCTGTGTGTCTTGTTTGATTACTTTCCATGGAAAATACAAAGCCTGGGGAGCTGAGTGGTATCCAGAGTTAAATCCTAATGGCAAGTCAACTTTTCCCCTGACAACTTTCCCATGGCCTTTGGTTTACTGGTGTAGAGTCCGGGTGCCCTTAGCACAGCCCATAACAGGACACACTCAAAACTTCAATCAGTAAGGTAACTTTTGCAAATACAGGGTTTAAACTTCCATGTGCACACACACATGCATTGCAGGTAAACTAAGAACTCAAGCTATTACTTCCTCTGAAGACACACATAGTTCACCAGGTCTGGAGTTATAATTCTCATATAGTATACCAACTCTCTCAGTAACAGATTATTAAGATTTTAGTTATTAAAAAAGATTCTCTTTAAAAAATCTAGAAGCCCATCTATTAAGATAAGATATTTTATTCAATTATGACCACTTAAAGATACTTACAGAGCTAAATAATTGTCCTGTAGTCCTGTCACATTTTCTCGAATTATAGCTGAATAAGTACTCCATATTGAGTTAATTCTCTTTAGCAAATACTTCTATAAACCACAAAGAAAAGTTACCATTATTTCTGACACACAACACTGAATTCCAAGTATATTATTATTTATCTGAAAGATATTAATAGAGAAACAACAAACTTTTTTTCAGAAATGATCTTAGTTACTAAATATACTGAGTTATTTTTAAACTTCTCTGAGTTCAGTTGCTTCAGACATAATGCCACAGAAAGTGGCACAAAGTAAGAGCCTAGTAAATGTTAGCAGTTACTGTCACTTGCGCTCAGACCACTGATAAATACAAAAATCAGGCATTCATTAACATTGCTAAGAACCAACTAGATACTATTGACCCATTGAAACTCTCTGAGGCAGTACAGCTGTCAGTTTATACTGGTTTGGCCTAAAACAGTCTTAAGAGTCCAGAAATCCTCCTGTAAGTTACCCTCCCTATATTCAGTTAAGTTCCCAACATTACTTTGGATACTAGAAAAAAGAGCATCTGGAACTGGAGGTGTTTACAAATCCTCCTCAGAATGACCCAGAAACTCTCTTGCAATCATCACTCTCTAGTTTGCTCATGGACCTGGACTGACCAAAGGGTTGCTTCTAAACATCTACTCTGATCTTACTCTTGACTTATTCCTTCCAAATCCTGCTGAAGAGCCACAGATGGGAATTTTCCATTTTATCTTCTCTCATTGATGGCAGCTTGTGAATGTTTCAATCATAAACGCTAGTGTCTTTCTTTCTCTTCCTAACAGAGACAGAGGCTTTGAAACTTATTTTTTTTCTAGAATGTTATCGCCTAGAATGGAATTGCTGATCCATTAAGACATGGATATTAGAGTCATGACCACAGGGTTGATAAGAAACTGTTTGCCTACAAATCTCTTTGGGAAATTGTTCCTAATATATACTGTATTTCTATAAGAAGATATATAATTTTTTACCACTTCTGGGTTTTTCATTCTTCACTTCCTCTGCCATCTCTCTCCCTCTCTCTCTTTCTCTCTCTTCGTCTCTCTCTGGATACACCTTCATTTCACCAAGAATGAAAAACCCTGCCAAGCTTCTCCTTCCTTCATCTCTAAGGCCAGGTCTATGGGTAATAGATAGATTTTCTTCTAAGAATAACCAGTTGTAGCTAAAAAGAAACAAAACACCAAACATCTGGAATGACTAGAACATTGCTTTTGGAAAGATCTGTCCCACAGATGCTAGCCAGAATACAGAAAGAGACAAAGAGGGTTGATTTAAAAGCCATAGAACAAAGCATGAAATTACCTTCAATAATGGGTATATAGCAAAGTTGTTCACATCAGAAATAACATCCCTGTTTATCAAGTTTACCAAGACTTCAAACCACACTAGGATTTCATCTTCTTCAGCAAGGTACTTGGTTAAATCGAGTGCTGTCTCAATTTCAATATAATTGTTTCTGTTTGGTTTAAAAAAACACACACTCAAAAAACCTTGACCTGCTAAAGGATCTCTCTTTCCATATCTGCTCCACTTTTTAACATCTAACTTCAACAAGATGTGTAAACAAGCCAAGCATGGGTGGCAGGAATCCCATCATATCTGTAATATAGAATTCAACAAATGCTGCCGGCTTTTGTATCCACTTGGTTCATTCACACATCCACATTAGAAGCTGTAGAAACCCCAGGTCAATTGCTAGCTATGAAGTATTGAATATTTGTTATATGCTCTTAGGACATTGCATTCAATAGCTGTCAATCATGAGCATTCTCAGTCAAATGCTCTGTCAGCTCCTGGTAGGCAGAGAGGCCAGCATATGGCACAGCAGCTGTCTTCAGCTAAGAGCATCACTGGGGAGTTCAGCTGGAACTGAACTAGGAAGTCAAGGAGGGGTCTCATAAAGAATGAGAACTACTGAGAATAAGGTTCCCAAGGCAAAAAACATACACATGGAAATATCCCAGGGGAAAGGGGAAATCAGAGAAGACCTCAAGAAAGAAACACTTGAGGAGAGCACCAAAGGCCTTGTGTAGTTGCAAAAGGTAGAGAAGACAGCATGGGACAAAGGAGAAACAATGGGGTGCTCTGTGGTGGGCTGGCAAAGGTAATAGGCAGGATGTTTCTGTGTCTAGTGAGAGGTAAAATTAGTGGACCAGGTGATGCTGTGTCTAGGGAGAGACAAAGATAATGGAATAGGTGGTTTGTAGCTGAGAAGGTCATTGAAAATCAGGATAAAGAGTTAAGATTTCTTTGGGACGAAGTCTAGCTTCTTAAGCAACTAAAATAATGTGATAATATTGATGCCTAGAATTGATACTGCTGCAATGCTGAAAGTCATAATGGAAGTCAAAGGAACTAAAGGCTGAAAGCTAAGGAAAGAGACTGAGTGAAAGGTGACAGAAATGGCTTAGTATGAAAGTAGCAGAAGTAGTAAGGTGAGAATTCAGAAGACATTATCAAGAGTGAATAGATATGACATGCTGATTGGCTGAGCATAAGCCATGGAAAAGGGACAATAGGGTGCCTCTGAGGTTTCAAGGTTTGACAATGGGAAGAACGGTGATACATGTCACACACACACACACACACACACACACACACACACACACGAGAGAGAGAGAGAGAGAGAGAGAGAGAGAGAGAGAGAGAGAGAGAGAGGATTATAAATAGCAGGAACAACATAAAGACCAAAATAACATTCAGTGGTTAAGGTAATGGATTGAAATGATAAACATGAGACAAGGGAGAAAAAAGAGAGAGAGATGTCCATTTAGAATATAATTAGCATCTTAGATTCTAACATCTTAGCATCTTTCTGAGCCTTTACCTAATGAAACAGCCACTTAAATTATAAGACCAACTGAGTCATCCCGTGGAAAAAAGGAAGATCATGTAAACATAATTGTGCTTAAAGATGATGCCCACAGTGAAAGGAAGAAGTAAAGTCAGAAAGTCAAGTTTTCATCTCAAAGAGTCAAGAAGCCAAAAGGGTTATTCTTGGAGGATGTAGCCAGCAGTATGTAAGCCACAGTGACTCTAGAAGTGTGTCAGCCAAGCATTGAGCAACAGGTATCAGAGGGAACAATAAGTAAAGAAATGACAAATACTCAGTACATATGGCAGTCACAAAGGAGGACATGCTAGGTAATTTATTATATATATATATATATATATATATATATATATATATATATATTCTTTCATTGCCTGAAAATTTAAATCCTGAACATATAATAATATTTCTGGTTAATCAGTGACATGGCTTATATTAAACAAGTCTATTACAGACATGTAAAATTTATAGTTCTGTAGTGTATCAAAATGTAACCCAGATATCACTACCATTAGCTGCCAGCCATCACCTTTGAGTAATTTCAAAATCTCAGTTCTTAGTCTATATCTGACAATTTATGCTATACAGTTCCACTGAGAACATAGAATTTGGCCCTAATATTGTGTGTGTGTGTGTGTGTGTGTGTGTGTGTGTGTGTGTGTGTGTGTGTCTGTTGCTATCTCATAGCAATCCTCCTGCATCAGTCTCCCAGGAGCTGAGTTACAGGTTTAAGCAAACATGTCCTGCTTTTGACCCTATTCTTAATTGGTTAAGGCCTCTGCATACTAAAGAACCAATTTCAGAGTCACAAGGCTATTATTTTTATAAAGTTTTTAAGATATTCCCTTGAGAGGAGAGAGGGTACTTACTTAGACAAGGCAAAAGCATCGCTCACCAGCTGCAGCCTGTGAATGACAGGAATGGCCTGCGGAAAGAAATCCAAACGTGGTCAAGGAAAGAGGAAAATATTTCAAAACAGAAACTTCGAGACCAGCAGTGCCTAAACATTCCTCTGTCTCCTAGACATAGGATAGTGGCTATGGAGAACAGTACACAATTTGCTTATTATGTATATGGTTTGATGACAGCCTTCTGATACCAATCATGATGCTTAAAAATGGCAGAAAGTTTAGCAAAATACTCCCCTAAAACATACCTGTTAAAAGACAAAGCTCCAAACGGACGTTTAAACACTTCTCCAAAAGAGAATGTATGTATGAATGCTTTTACAATGCCTCATATTCAGGAAAGTTTTGGCATAGCAGATGGTAAACAAATATTACTCAGCACTATTTTGTAGCACTGGGGGGGGGGTATTTTAAATGGTGTCTGTGCTCTCAAGATTTCATTGATGTGATCCAGTTCCTCCATTTTCGTGGAGAGGCAGAGGCCTATTAGCAGCCTCTCTGATCATGTCAACACTGACAGCTCACAAACTGCAATCTCAGCTTAGGCCATCAGAGGACCCCAAAGCCCCCTGCCATTCCTCCAACACCTCCCATTACTTTCATTTATTTGGTCCAAGGGAACTCATCTTCCCAGTATTCCCAAGCATTTGAGTACACTCCTTGCTAATAGTCACATTTCATCATGTCGTGGTTGCCTCAACGTTTGCATTTTCTAGATGCATTTGAATCACACAAATTCTGTCTTATTTGCTCACCAATTATGTTAGCAAAATAGTTTGATTAGGCATTTCAATAAATCAGTCTACTATGATGTGAGGGAAACATATTCTGATTCTCATCTCAAAAGGTAAACTTATTTTGGAAAAGAAAGAAGAATGATTAAAAAAATATACATTCAACTAAAATCAGTCCTTCTTAAGAATGAGAATAAAACTGTCTCCACCATGGGTGTTAGACAAGGGGCTCTCCGTCTCCAAATGACAATGGATGGATGCTTGATTAAAACACAAAAACTAGACCATACCTTAGGATCCTTTTCAAGCTGTTGACTTAATTTCTTCCAACCTAACTCATCATAATTCACTCTGTAATATCCAGTCACATTGAGGTTTAAAATCACCCAATCACCATCAGTATCTGAAAGTTGCATCTCAGGGAACACCACTACCAAACAAACAAACAAACAAACAAATGTTCTTAAAAAGATTTAAATATATATATATATATATATTTTTTTTTTTTTTTTTTGAGGCAAGGGTTTCTCTGTGTAGCCCTGGCTGTCCTGGCACTTGCTCTGTGGACCAGGATGGCCTTGAACTCACAAATATCTGCTTGCCTTTGTCTCCAAAGTGCTGGGATTTAAAGGTGTGTGCCATCACCGCTCTGCTAATTAAATTTTCATGTATAATTACTTTTAATTTGAAATAATTTAAAGCTCTGTGTTCAACAATCAGGTTTTCAAAAACTTGACATTTTTAACAAAATGTCTCTGTTTTTATAGATGTGTATACATGCAGATGTACATATATGCATATATAATGCACACATATATTTACTTACTGTTGCTTTTGTCTAGCCAGACTAAAGGTTGTGTGGTTCCATTTTTCATCCAAAAAATAGGGACAATCCATGTGTTACTTTTTGAAAGAAAGGGGAAAAATTAGCTATTTTCACACACAAGAATATACATAGTCATCCCAAATTAAAGAGATGCCAAAATAGCCGACCTCCAAGTCCATGGTCAATCCCAGCAGACTCCTGTGGTTTTGTTCTTCAGGTTACTTTGCGTTTCTGTTAGCCAATGTTACTTTGTTTCTTTATCACCCTCCCTCTTGCTGTCTCTTACAGGCTTACCTCTTATAACACAGACAATTGCTGGGACTTGTTTCTGTTTGAAATAGTGAAAGGCTGGTTTTACTAAATTGTAGCCACCTGGCCTCACTCTGGGTTATTAAAATGCTTCAGGCAGACCCAATTCTGTCTATGCCCAGAGAAGTGAAGGGTAATTTAAAAAGGAAAAGCTTGCCAACATTTCAAAATACCTCTCAACCTCCAGCTTTCTGACCATCTGAAACATATCCACAGGCATCAGCCAGGACATTGTCTGAGCATCTACATTTTCCTCCCATACTGGTGGCTGTGAACTGGATGAATTGGATGACCACAAGGGCTGCATGGGTCTTTAGGAAAGACACACAGTTCAGGCAATTGTTTCCAATCTTCTCCCAATTCTCAACATCTGGCATCTTAGTCCTTTAGCTGTGACTGTACATTTATCTGCACACCTAAGACTGCCCACTTTTCAAAGACTCGAACATTAGAGTGCAGAGTCTATTCAACTTCAGTTTCTCTCCCCCTGGGTTTTGAAGAAAGAGTGGGACTATTTGATTTGTTGCTATTATTGGTGTGTGTGTCTCTGTCTGTCTGTCTGTGTATGTAGAATGTGGGAGGCAGTACACATGTTTGGAGGTCAGAGAACAACTTTTTAGAGTTAATTCTCTCTTTCCAGCTTTAACATGGATTTCAGGAATCAAACTCATGTCATGAAGCTTGGGGTCAAAGCCACTGGGCCATCTTGCCAGCCCCTTCTTGAAAATTCTTCCAGTATTTGCAAATCATTTGTTCATGCTGAGATTCGAGGGTCAAAATTACTTAAAATGGTTGCAAGTTAACAATTAGGTGAAGAAATGGGAGGAAGAGGTGGGCGATGAGTGGCGTGCTACCACTCACTGCTGCATATTTTTGCATCATCTCCCCATTCCATTTGTGGTGCAGACAATGCAACTGGAGCTCAGAGGACTTGAATAAGATTTACACAGAGTCTGACTTTTGTAGAAGCCAGCATTTGAATCGGGTCTAAAGGCTACAATTTTAAAGTTGCAGATATTGCACACATGTGCACAGCACTCTCCTCAAGGATGTAGCTACCTCTAGCTTCTATGTCTAGGGGAAAAGACTGCAACAGGACCCTCTTTTTTATCTGAAAACTTGTGCCACTGGTGACATCATCTTCTTGCCTTTCACTCAGAATCCTGGGGGATTCATCTGTCTGATGAACAATGAGGAACATAAAGAATTCTAGGGGTCTGTTCACTCATGTGACTCTAAGTCCCGAGTAAGGGCTCACATTGGTCCCTAGGTGCAGGCTTCTGGACTTGATCAGTTCTGCCTCACCCTAGCACACAGTGCCAGCCTTTCAGGGAGTCACCCAATAGAAGGGCATATGCCTAGCAAGTGTTATATATACTTCCTCACTGCTGACTGGTTTCCATTGCATTGTTGCTCAACCCCAAACCTAGTGATGATAGAGGAAAACAATAACCTACTTGTGGCTTACAAGAATTTGATTTTCAGCCTTTTCAAGATAAAATGGCTCTTGTCTCATGATGCCTGTAGACACATTTAACGTGACGACTGGAAAGCCACCCTGGTATGTCCAGCTATCCATTATGCTTTTTACTGTTGTTGGCAAATTGATTATATTCTGCTCATCTATGACCTGATTAGAAAAAAAAATCATCATAAAAAAGACATGGTTATCAGCAAAATCTTTTGAAGCAGCAATCTCACCCAATGAAATGAAATGAAATAACCATCCTATTGCTTCTTAACATGGTAATCCTCAGTGGTTTTTTTTTTTTCAGAACTGTCAGACTGTACATGGCTTTCCTCTAGTGTCTGGGAGGGATTTTTTTTTTCAGGACACTCATGGCTGATGTGCTTATATAAAAGTGCTCTTATGCAAGCATGTACTGCAAATCAACTACAGTGACTTGTAATTCCTTCACAGTGCAAATGCTATGTGAATATAACAGTTATTATATTGTATTATTTGGGAAATAATGGCTCCAGAAAAGTCCATATATGTTTAGTACAAACAGAACTTCTATTTCTCATCTTGGGTTGCTTGAATATCCAAATATGGAGCCACAAATGCAGAAGACTGACAATATAAATGTTTATTTATTTATCTATTTATTCATTCAGCACAAATTTAAGGACCTAGCTGATCACTCTCTGTCTTGGGCATAGAAGTAGAGTGAAGACTAAAGAAATACCTGAGACCTAATGGGTTTTATAAATAGGGAAAAGTCATGTTGCTGTGATTCAGTCATTCACTCATGGCCTCCTGCTCTTGTATTGTATCAGACAAAACTACTCAGCAAGAAAGTCTTGAGAAGGACAATCACCATTTGAAAATGTCTCCATAGGTCATCTTGCTCGGCATTTGAGTAAGAAAATGTCTCCAAATATGACTGTGAAAACAGAGGAATTTGGGGTTAAAGCAATATGATGCCGACGCAAGTTACATTTGCTGCTATCTGGTAACACTCTTAGCAACTCACCTTAAGTGCATTGATAAACAAGTGCTGGCCTAGGAAACTGTTGAGCATCCGGGCCATACATGCCCCCTAAGACACACAAAGCCATTGTCAGCTGAACAAAATTCATTATTTAAACACAGACACATTCCACTTTTATGAACACGATTCCATGCTGTGCTTCTGATTCCAATTTGTTCCTGAATTCCCTATTTAAATTATCCTCAAATAAAATATATAGATTGTCATTAAGTAGTGAGTAAAGAGCAAACAAATGTTCTACATATAAAGAGTTGGGGTACACAAAAATATTTAAATTATGATATCTGCATACAAGAATAAAATTCTACAAAACAGAAGTTTGGAGCTGGGGTGATGGCTCAGCCACTGAAGCAAGAAAGAGGACCTGAGCTCCATCTTTAGAACCCATGTACAAAAGCTAAGCATGTGTGTTTGTCTGCAATCCTAGAACGGGGGGCGGGGGGGATGGGAGATTCCTAGTACTATATGACTATCCACTTAACCAAATCAGCAAGCTCCATGTCTCACAAAAACAAGTTTGATGCCTCCAGAGGTACAACATCCAAAGTTGTCCTTTGGCATCCCAATGCACATGCATGCATGCCCACCCTCCACACACACTCACTCACAGAAACCCAGAAAAATTTACTTCCAATGCATTGAGCTATGTGTAAGTCTGTTTATAATAGTAGATGTGCCCAATATCTAATATTTGCTAAGTGAAGGCTGACTTTAAAGCATTTTCTGACATCTATTAGGCAGTAAGATTAAAGTTACTTTTACCATGTAGCATTTTATCAACTTTGGACTCCATGCTACACAATTCTCTGCATGAGAACAGAAGAAAGCCCAAATATGTTTTTACCTTGTTGTAAGTATATATGTCGAAGAGTTCATTTATTTCTCCTGTTTCTGTGAAATTTTCCACCTCAGTGGACACAGCTCTAGACTCCAGGGCGTGATCTTCTCTGAGGACTCCATGTAAAAAGTTAAAAAAGAAGATCTCATTCTATAAAGGAAAAGATTGAGCCACATTAACTTCAGAGGGTTACAGAAATACAAAATCCAGCATTCCTAAGATAGCTTCCAAAATCCACATTGAAACGGAGACAGACTAATTAAAAAGTGTCTGACTTACAATATGCCCCAAATACCAGAATTCCTTGAGTAACAAAACAATAGGCCATCTTCCTTCCTATTCTCTAGCTTTTGCTTTGATTTTTAAGAGGTTAATTATAGAAGTGTGATTCCTAAGAGTCATGTACTTCTCATCAAGACAGGTTTTCTGCACCGTCTCTATGTAGTTCCATTCTACTAAATTATATTGTCGATTGACTCAATGAATCTTCAAAACTGATTGGTATTTTTCCATGCATACTCACAAAGCAAAAGGCACACTAGACTTATAAACTGACAGTGGTGTTGACATAATAACTGGAGAGTCATCCACAGACTAGATCCAGGTGTTTGCACTTTACGTGTTCTGAGACAGTAGTTCATTACACTGTTCTGGGAGCCACAGTACTATCGAAGACACGGGCTTTCCCTTGGGCACATGGCAAAAACAATTTCTCTCTGATACGAAGCTAGAAAGAAAACTAATTTACAGCCAAAGAGGAATTTGGGGTGAAAAAACAAAAAACAAAAGAACGGAGATTAGGAGAGATGCTGCACAGATGAGTTATCTGCACCCTGGTGGGTGGGTTAGCCCCTGATAGCCCTGTAAAGCCTAAAATCCCTACCGATTGGAACTCAGACTGACTTCTCATGCCATATGCCATACCAGTACCAGGTAAACATTCAAATTCTTCTCCACTTACACCTGCTAATGCTCTGGTCAACTCCTTTGTATTCCTAGCTTAAGTTTTGATTAGCAATACCATCAACTAGGCTTATGTGAGTTACATGACTTGTTACTGTGACAAAATATATTATATTACCAAAAGCAAATTTCATGAACAGTCAGGAAGCAGAGAGCAATGAATGTTACTTCTCAGTTCACTTTCTCTTTTTAACTCAACTAGGCTCCTGGTGTATGCTATTGCACAAAGTTAAAATGGCCCTTTCCACCATAATTAACCCACTCTAGGAAATCTCATCTAGATAATAATAATAACAGATAATAACCTAATCTAGACGATAGGTATATCCAAAGGCTAACCTTATATATGCCTATATATACTCTTACCATCAATGCCTACCCAGAAGACTGCTGAGTCTAGACCTTGTCAATTTGACAGTAAGTATTAACTACCTCCAGGCTATTGCCAAAATCTGATCTTCTGAAAATGAGAAGCCTATAACACAGAGTAATGTGTCAGCAACGTTGTTGTTTGAGATGGCGCCTTGATATAAATCAGGTTGTTTTTTTAATTTTGAATCCTCCCACCTCAGCTTCCTGAATAGCTGAAATGGTAGATGTAAGTTACCATGTCTGGCTACGTCTGAAAGTTTAATGGAAAATTGACCAGCTGGAGATTGTGTCAAAATCATGTTGGTCTGGCTAGTATCCTATACTCCCGTAACTATAGGATGTTGAATGGTAAAGCTTTCCTGTTGCTAGTTCAGTAATAGCCTATTCATTAAGCATAGGTTCTGCTACTGTTCTTGAGAGTGTTACATTTTGATCAATGTGTCGTAGACACAAGGGAGAAATTTTTAAACTTGCATAATTCATGCCCTAAGAACTCTACCACAATTTAGCTTTAATACAATTCTTTCTAATGTTTTTTATGTATGTATGCTCATAGTAGTAAAATGCCCTACTGTATTTACCAACGTTTTGAGTTTTTGTTACTTGGTCTTCACAACTGTTTCCTAAGATACAAATGAACAGAAAGATAAGTTGGAAGAACAAAAAGCCAAAGTTAGTTTGGTCAAGTCACAGATGGATTTCTTCTTTTTCAAGCATAACAGATAAAACTTTTATAAAAAGCAAAGTGTTATGATAAATGAATAGGGAGTTGTCAAGACAATGGGCCAACGATAATTTTTTTCTTTCTGTCTTAACAGTTCTTTTACTCATACAAGTCACCAAATCTATCTCTGACATTCAGTTTTACCATTTCAAATCAGGGAAAACATCACTGTCCTCACTTATTATCGTAAAGTGTAAATTAATTTATGGGTTTTAGCAAAATTCCCAGGAAGTACAACCTTCTTCATAGGAGTTAACCACTTCAGGCTACTTATCATCATCATTTATTGTTCTTAGGACTGAACAATGTCTATGATACCCTATATGCACACAAGTGTATATTTAATGACAGTTGCCACCTAGTATGTAACAGATGTTCAGAAAGCTGTTCAGTGACTGCATTTGACTCCTTTTAGCTCAGATGTTCTACTGTGCACCTCAGCTTATGGTGGTAAGAAAGGCAGAGTGAGGATGCAGGGGTTCTCCTAGGTGGTGGAGCTCTTGTCTAACAAGCATGAGGCCTGGGATTGAGGGTCAGAACCATGCTTAACACAAGAAAACTGCTTTTGGATCCATCACAGAGTCTTCTACTTTCCTAAACTAGGCAGAAATAGAAAGACAGAGAAGTTACTGAGTAACAAATGCCAGAACTCAGAGACCCTGAGCCTTGAAGAGCTGGTGAATGGCAAATCCAGTATTCTCATCATCATCATCTTGGCCATCAGACAATCAGATTTCAAAGGCAACTCTGTCCCAGACAGGAAATGATTTCAGGTAAATCAATGAAGCCCTTAACATTTCATTCTCATCTATAGAATGATGTCCAAACTCCCTTCCAGAACAACAGGACCTGTGCTCAGTGCTGAGATGAAAGAAGGAGGCATGGCCTCATACCCATGTGTTGAAAGGAGAGAATGAACTACAACTGATTGTCTTCTGACCTCCACATGTATGCTACAGCATATGCAGTCTGACACAATAATAAGTAAATAAGTATAAAATTTGGGGGGATATAAGAGGCTTTTCTTGTATAGAACTCCTGTCCTGGAACTTTCTCTGAAGATTAGGCTGGCCTCAAACTTATAGAGATCCACATGCCTTTGCCTCCCAAGTGCCGGAAATAAATGCATGCACCACTACCACCCAGCTAAAGATGAAAAAATTTAAGCCAAAAGAAGTTTCAGTATAAATATCACTTAAACAAAAGTTATAAGTAAAAATCTTGCAATAAAAAGAACATACAAGGCAGTATGACTCACCTTTGATAAAGAATTTTATCAATTAGTAGTTACTGGATTGTCTGTGTTTTATAGATTTTCCAACAATGAATATGCATTCATTTTAAAATTGTGGGTAAATGATTAAATTACTTACCTTTGGGAGTTTGGGATAGAAGTAGTTAATTATTCCAAGTTCAAAATAAGTTGCAAAGCCCTCGTTGAGCCAGATATCATTCCACCAACTCATGGTCACCAGATTCCCGAACCACTTTTGGAGATGTGAGAGAGGAAAAGATATTTCTAAAATCTGAGTTGTCTTAACTGCAAATACACACGAAGGAGGTAAGATGACAAAAAGATGTTCGTGTCATTTGCCATCAATAACAAAACTCGAAAGCAGGCCTCCCAAACATGCCTTGCTGTTTTCACACGAGCAGCTATGCATTTCTCAGAAATGATGTGTCATTTCTGGTCACTGGGAGCAGTCTTTGCTTTAAACCTGATATGTAAGCACAAGACTGGCTAGGTGAATAAAACTGTTGGCTTTGCCCATGAGTTGTGTTTAGTTCAATGAAGCTGAAGTCCTAGGCTCTCACTTAACCCCCTACTATTCTCCCACCTCATAGTCTAACTAGGACTTTACTGTAAGTAGATACTATGTTTTAGACTCTGATTTGATCCACACCATGTATGAATCACTCAAGCGTGTGTATGCTCTGTGATGTATTGTAGCTGTGTTTTTCTCTATTCAAGCTGAACAGGGCAGGAAAAAGGATAAATGTATATGGAAAGAAAAAATACATTCCCCAAATCAACAAATCCATATCTTGTTATCTAACTAAATTTTTACAGCAGTTGTTAGCAGCTTATATCACTTGGGTTACAATAAGAAATGACACTTTCAACAGCTGATCAAAATTCGTGGGGGTATGAGGACTATGTAGCCAGGGTGTGGAGTCACACGCAGAAGAAAACTCCACTGTCATAGTTAAGGTTATTTCTTGCTTGACACATTTCTGTTAATGGAATAGAGACAAAAATGTAGGTGTGAGACTTTCCATCAAGTCAAATGCTTAGACTTTTAAGATCCCAATGCGAAGCACACAGAGGTTGCAATGGGCAGCCTGGTGACACTCTTTGTGGATGCAGCTTGAGCCCTCATGTGTCCCTCCCTCACACACTGCCTGCATCCACCCAAGCTCTTCCCAGAATAAAGCTAAACAGGCTGACAACACCTCAGTGGGTGGGACTCAGCTTGACTGACAGCACACAGACCCTGTTTGTTTTTCAAGACAGGATTTCTCTGTAGCTTTGGAGGCTGTCCTGGAACTCCTTCTGTGGACCAGGCTGGCCTCAAACTCAGAAACCTGCCTGCCCCTGTTTCCTGAGTGCTGGGATTAAAGGCGTGAGGCCACTACCACCCAGACGGCCATTCCTTGTTTTATGTACAGTTATACATTTTAAGTACTAACATGCTGCTTCAAATGTGGTGTGTGGCTGGTATTTCTTGATTTTGCTTCTCGGAGGAAAATGGTAAGAAAATACCTCGCTGTGAAATAAGGAAGAACATTTCCCCAGGTACCTGGTGCCCAACCTCGTGGGAGATGATGGACAAGACCATAGCCCTTCTCTCTGTCAGCTCATCATCTGGTTCCAGCAACAAGGATGCTTCATCAAATATCAACAGCCCCCAGTTTTCCATTGCACGGTTGTCAAAAGTAGGCAAGGCAATTATATCTAAGTGGATTTAAGTAAGGAAAAAAATTAAATCATCATTTCTAATAAAATGTTGTTTAGCTATAAATTATGTCAAATTATGTTCAAATAAAGTCATTAGGTTACTGGAAAATAGAGATTACAGGAAATTTGCAACCTGAGTAAAGGGAAGGGTATTTAAAAAAAACCCAAAAACTAACACTAAAGATAGAAACTAGAAAATAAGTTATGACAATTGTATGAAAATCATATAAAGATCAAATATTTCTGATGAGAGACTCATAGCTCAAATATAGAAAGATCTCAAAACTCAACAAAAAGATGGCAAAATGGGCTAAATCCTGGTCCTTCCTCAGCCCTGTGAATCAGTCTGTCTCAAAGCATCCATCAGACTTAGTGACATTGCCCATCCTTTTAAACCCCTCCTGGTCACACTCATACCATCCCAAACCCATGCACTTCCCTCGCAAAAAAAAAAAAAACTCTGCTGCCCTGCCCAGCCCAATTCCTTATGTTGACCTTAGATTTCCTCTGCTAACTGATCCTGTTTGCTTTCCCAGGAAACCCTCTACTAGAAGGATGAATGTGATCAACACTCAGAGTCTGGCTCTGATAGTTATGAGAAATCAATTCTTATAGAGACTGATTGACTTCTTTTACAACTCTCTGAAATTAAATCTTTTTACATGCATGTGTGTCTGTGTAATTGCAAGCATACGTGTGTGTGTATGTTGTGTGTATGTGTTTGTATGTGTGTGTGCGCATGTGTATGTATGTGTGTGTGTGCATACATGTGTATGTGTGTGTGTGAGTGTGTAAGTGTCATGACACACATATGGAGATCATAAGTGAACCCACGGGAGTCAGTGCTCTCTTCCACTCTGTGGATCCTGGAGATTGAATTTCAGTTGTCAAGCTTGGCAGCAAGTGCCCTTACTCACTGAGCCGCCTTGCTAGGCCCCTTCTAATGACTGTTTTTTAAACATTTTAAAATTTTAACTAAATGCAATTTAATTAAGAAAAATCATTGGGCTTTTAGAAAATGAACTATCATCACTAATTACCATATGATTCTGCAGTCTCTTATACAAACATTTAACCAGTTATTTCAAAATAACAATAGAAGCAACCATGGATCTAACGTTTAACCCTTTAGAATTGCCTGGGATTAGCCAAATTTTTCTGAAATGGGCCAGCTGAAAAAATTTCCAACTTTCTATGCTGTTTTCTGCCACATTGTGTATTTACTGTTCCCTTGCTTTGAATAGATTATATATCCTATTGTATCTCATTATATAAAATCACTTTGGGTTTAAAACTTTAGAAAAGGTGCTTCATTTTCATTGTTGTATAGTCTTCTACTGTGTGCATGTCTCACTATTCATCACTCCTCCTATGAAAGACCTTTTTTTGTCCGAGTTAACAAATAGAAAAAGTGAATTGTCCAGTTAAGTAAAAGACATTCCAAGATGTGCAAATTGCATATGGCGTGAAGAGCCTGGAGGACCAAGGAGGGTGTAGAGACTATTTGAGAGCACCAATCATAGTTGGGAACTGCCCAACTCCTGGAATAAGTTGGTACATCGTTGTAAAGACATGGTTGGAGTTCAGAGCCCGTCCTCATGGTTATAGGAAGCTGCATGGAGATTTTAAAGAGGACCTTAACATGATCAGCCATTTCTCTGCAAAGATTCTGGGTTCACATGGGAGGACAAGTTGGAGGGTGGCACCACATAAAGACTGTTCCAGTAGAGACAATGGTGATGTACATTGGCAGCAAGTAGGAGCAGGATGGTAGTGAATGGCTTGGGGGGCAGAGAAGGAAAGGGGGGCAAGGACTATCTCCCTTAAGCTCCTCTAGCATGCAAGAGCTAGGAACTTGGTTTACAACTCAGATGCCTGCCGCTGCCAGTGGTGTAATGTGACAGGCAAACCAGGGTTTCTGACCAGGCTTAAGCTGCTCCCCAGCCCTCACCCTTTATTCCCCCTAAACTAAAGAGGCTCTGACCAGCCTCGCATCCCAGATATTTTTCCCCACCCTCTTCTGCTATCTGCCTGTGCAGGCAGAGCATAGTGTTCTCAAGATTTCAGAAACATGAAGGAACAAAATAAATTTACATGACACGCACGATTTAAACAGAAGAAAAAAAATTGAGCAACGTTCTGAGCTGAGCGGCTTGCAAAACTTTACAGGCATACCATACAGCTCTATGGAAGATAAAATATTTACATCAATCTTCAAGGCTCATATTCACACATGATTCTAATTTTTATGATGAAATCTATAGATAACAATGAGTATTAAGCCAATGAGTCACCGCTAAAGAATATCTAAAATCCTGCAAGCTTGCTAGCTGAAAGAATCCAGAGCTCAGCACTGCACAGCGTTATATGTAAGTACAAAAGAGTCTTAAGAGCCCCTTCTAGAGAAGGAACCACCAGACACCCACAAGGGAGCTAAAATAGAAATGCTCAGCTCACTAGATACAGAGCACCAGACAGAGAAAGCACAGCCAGATCATTGTGTGTTTCGGAAAGCATCAAACACCATGGTGAATGAAGCTAACTCCGAAATAAAAGCTAAATGGCTTGAAGGTTCATGAGTATAGCATGTGATCTCAATGCAGGGCCTGCAGAACAGAAAAACTGTGCATTGAAACTTTTTTAAATGTTTCACCTGTTTTTGGAAGTGGATAACTGATGTTAAACAAATCCTCCAGAAATGAGAAGATGGGACCTGTGATGTTCACAGCAAAGTCTACATTTCCATTTGCAATGCCGTCTTTCCGGGCCCACACTCGTATCTAAATTAGAACAATTGAACAATACTTAAGTAGTGCAATGTCAGGCTTCAAAACTTGCCCATTTTGACTCCATGCTACTGTGGAAGAAGCTTGGGAATGGTCCCCACAGTCTCATATATTTGAATCCTTGCTTCCCAGGTGGTGGAACTGTTTAGGAGGGGTTAGGAGGTGTGACTTGTTGATGTGTGTCACTCTGGGATGGACTTTGATGTTTCCACAGATTTGCAACATTTCCAGTGTTCTCTCTCTCTTTCCTGCTGATAGATCAAGATGTGGACTTCTGCTGTCCTCCTATTAGTTATGGTGTTTTGTCACAGTAAAAAAGAAACAGCGACCAAGAGAGCACTTACAATATTTAAGTTCATATAGGTGCTGAGAAAATCTTAGAATGCAAAGCACTAACAGTGATCTCCCAGAGGTATGCCACATTAACTTTTACTTTGAAAATCTATAATTACTGGTCAGACTAGAAGCCACACATAGAAGAATGGAAATAGGCCCCTATCCATTACCCTGTACAAAACTCAATTCCAAATGGATCAAGGAAATCAACATAAGACCAGGTGTCAAGACCCCAATTGAAAAGAAAGTAAAGAATAGGCTTGAACTTATTGGCACAGGAAGAGATTTCTGAACAGAACACTGATAGCATAGACATTAAGACCAATAATCAGTAAATAGAACCTCATGAAGCTCAAAAGCTTTTGATTTTAAAAAAAAAGGGCATAATCATTCCTTTTGAGCAAAGCAGGAGCCTACACAATAGGCAAAGTATTTTCCAATTATACATCTAGCAGAGTTAGCAACTAAAATATACAAAGAACTTAGAAAACTGAACATCAAGAAAACAAATAACCCATTTTAAAATGGGGTGCAGAATAAGAGAGTTCTCAAAAGATGAAGCATAAACGCCCGAGACATATTTTTCTAAATCCTTAACCTTTAATATCCTTAACCCCAGGAAATTCAAATTAAAGCTACTTTGAGATTTCATCTTATCCCAGTCAGAATGAACAAGATCAATAAGACAAATGACAACATATGATGATGAGGATGTGGAAAAAAGGGAATACTTTACTACTGATGGATATGAAACCTCATGCAATCACAAAGAAAATCAGTGTAGAGTTTCCTCAAAAAAGGCGAAACTAGACATACAAGATCCAGCTCTACCATTCTTGAGAATAGACTGAAAGGACTCTATATCTTACTTCACAGATACTTACTTACTCATCCATGTTCATAAAGTCAGAAGCTTGAAATAGCATATATATCCATCCACTGATGAATAAATAGATAATGAAAATGTAAAAAAAATACATTTACACAATGAAATGTTATTCAACTGTTAAGAAAAATTAAATTATGAAATTTGCAGATAGAGCTAGAGTCAACTATCCTAAGTAAGGTAACTCAGACCCTAAAAGACAAACACTGCCCGTTTTTTCTTATATCTGGGTGTTAGGTCTTAAGATTTAGATATGTGTTTTATTCAGAATATTCAGAGATTGGGTAGCTGGTAAGGGACCAGAGAGTGGAGGGGATTGTCCAAAGAAGGAGAAATGGAATATAGTGTTTTAAACATGTAAAGAAGAAACTAAACTAGGAGGATTAAATGGAAAGGGTGATTGGCGAACAGGGTGAAGGAGAGATAAGGGCAGGGACAACTAATAGCAAAGGCCTTTTGAAAGGCCTCCATGAATGGGCCACATCTCTTTGAGTTGTTAATCAAGGCAGGTCCCATAGATTACCTTCAAACATTACATGCTATTGCCAGCTATATTGGTTACTGCCACACGTGACAGTAAGACTTTATTGCAAGATAATCCATACTTACATAATTGAACATAAAGAACTTGAGCTAACGCTCAACAAGAAGTTTCACCCCTATTGACTAACATTCATATTTCTGGAAGTTACTATACAGTGCAGAATATCAGAAGAGAAAAGTAATCATCAAACTCACCCAGTTATAAACCCGGTGAGTGACTATAATGCAATAGTGGCATAAATGTGATGGAAGTAACTAACCGCTTTTTTGTTGGCGTTAGGGTCTGCTCCATGTCAAAAACCCACACCTGACACTGTCGATGGTCCCTGGAACTTGGGGCTAGATAAATCATGAGCCCTATTAGAAACCTCCTACTATTATTCGACTAAAGGACCATAGTAATACAACAACTACTAGCACATATGGCTATGCCCATGGATCAATGTGTCACTGAACTCTTACTGGAGAAGCCCCTTCTTACAGTAGATGGTAGTTAACACAGAGACATACAACTGAATAACATGCAGATAGTGAAGACCATGGAGTAATCAGCCCTAAGAGGGATGTCTGCATCACACTCCTCTATCAAAGGCTTAGGGATCTATTTGGAAATGGATGAAGAAGCACATATGCTCTCACAAAGACTGTAACAGTAGCCACAAAACCTGCACAGGTTCAAGTCAGACAAAAGCTCAGCACAAAGTCCTGGCCCTAATCAAGAAGCTATTTTCAATTGATACCTCCTGGGAGAGGGAAAGCCTGTTTTCCCAACAGTGAAAGAAGGACTATCAGTCACACTCTATGGCAGGTCTCATGCTCAAGAACCGGTGACCAATACAAAAGGGATTTCACATTTTTATGTGTGTTTTTCTTTGGCTGTGGTTTGGTGGTTTTTGTTGTTGTTGTTTTTGTTTGTTTGTTTTTTGCCTTTGGGGTTTTTGTTTTGTTTTATGTCCATGGCTGGTTTGCTTGTTTGAGAGAGAGAAAGAACATGAAGTTGGGTGGGTAGGGAGGTGGAGAGGATCTGGGAAGAGTGAGAGAGAAGAAAGAATATAATCAAAATTCACTGTATGAAAAAATTAAGTAATAAAATAAGTCATTTAAAAAATGTATTATTCTGTGATTGCAGAAAAATCCATGTAGCTTCCACATAAAAGAATACCTCAAATCCTTCTTCCCTAAAAGAAAAAAAAAAAACAAAAAAACATTCCAATGATCCAAAACAGAGTTGTGTTAAGAGTGATGGTATGCTGCATGACCAAATTTGAACCTTGCAACTTAGGATGGTTTAATATTTAGAATTAGTAGTCCTATCACTGCATTTTCAAGACTGAAAATCAGATTAAGTCCTCAAATTTTAAAAAGCCCTTGAAAAGTCTTTTAATTTTAAACCTGTTGAAGCTAGTTAGTTATTACAATAGTGTTTCCATGTTTGTTGGTAAAAGGCATCTCCACCATTTAATGTCATTTTCATGTTAATATGCTGGTGTTTGGTACCCGAGAGTGAATCCCTGTAGCATTCCTGACTGCTCCTGTTCCAACCCAAAGGACTGTAGTGATGCAGAATCACCTTATGCTCTACATTTTTTTTCTCTGTAAGTAATTGTTAATAGAATTGAGACTTGTCAGCGCTGATGCCAAGGGAGCCACATGAAAATGAAAGTCCTTAGGACAAATGTTAGAGGTGTGGGAATTACCAAGTGTGTTCTTACATGAGTTTTGTTAACTTAAAAAAAAATGCTCTCTACCGAACATTATCCAAAATGGGCAAGAAAAATAAGAAAAATGAAAAGCAGCATAATGCAGGTACATGCTTTCCAGGAACAGATTTATCTCACTGTGCTTTCATTTCTCTGGAAAGTTTGTCTTGAATTATGTGAATTTTTAGTTATGCCAGAGTTTGGGAATGTTCCTTGTTCACAGAATGCAACCACCCGGTTTTGAGACACCAGCCTGGATTCCCTCACTGATTTTTTTTTCCTCCCGTGTGCCACAGAGGCCCCATTTAGTTGAGAAAGATGGCCTCAGGCCTTGGATCTGCTTTTCCATTAAACTTACAACTTCTCAGACCAAAGTTTGGAAGCCACTAGATTTGAAAAAACACAGAGGGTACAAACTGTGTTTTAGCTGTAGTCTTTTGCAAAATAATAGCCCCATCAATGAATACTTGCTCAATAATTTTCAGGTTATGAATCTCCTCCCACAAATGACCATTCTGTATGGCCATAAAGCAAGACAAATAATGGGAATTTCAAATTGGATTGGGAGGATATGTAGCCCTGAGGAGGAAGCAAGAAGCACAGACCAATAAGGACCATTTTAGATGTAGCTAAAAAGTCCTTCAAAATCACACCTGCCCCATCTGTGTCTTCTAATAGCCATCGCTGGTGTGACAGATCAAGACATCAGAGATGATTGTTTTGCAAATACCCATGCTGCCCAAGTCTTCCAAGTTAGCCTTTTCAATGCCTATAGTATGTTCTCTGCTTGTCCTTTACACAATCATACTCTTACTGAACGGGTAATTCTGGGATAAGCTGGACACAATTCCAGGCTTGAATTTTGTTTACTTCATAGAACACACATTAGATTCAATCACTTTGTAGTGCTTAGCTGTGGCCAAGCACAGCATTCCACTGATAAACTTAACCCAAGACTCATTTTCTGGCCAAGAGAATTAGCTTTGTCTTGTTCCCTTTTTTGTTTCTATGGCACCTGGCCTTCTTTATAATAGAGTGATCTTTAGGGAAGGAACTGATTCACAAGAATTGCTGATTGAGAAGAGAATTGACCATAAGCTATCTGGTGTGGGTGTGAGGGACCACCCTGGGTCTCTCATTAGCTATGGGAAATGAGTGGTCTGCTACTTCTTGCTAGGCTCAAACCATGCTTCTAAACCATCCTTAAGCAGATTCACTGATCTATGCCAGATTTCTGATTAGGCCAGTGTTACATCTATGAGTGTCAAAGACCGCCTAGTAATTATTCAGCAAGAGAAACAGGGCTGGGAGCCAGCAGCTCAGAAAGATGATAAGCTGCTGCTTGCATCCAACACTTTGTAAGTGATTCATTAGGCTAGGAGGCCTGGAGTAGTGTTTTGGCTCATTCTCACCCCCATGATGAGCTTAGCTCACCACCAGCCTTCTTGTCTCCATCATCAATGATATGAGCCTTGAAGATTTCAGGCCAGCCAGAGGGATGCTCAGCTAGCTGTACAGCTTGACCTCTCTCACCCAAGAAAGCCAAGAAAATCAGAAAGAACTGGGCAGGCATAAGGAGTTGGCCTTAGTAACCTCCATAGTCCCTCCATAGTAGGGAATAAGCAAGCATGGGAAACACTATCACAGCAACCATGATACTTTCTGAAAATCTTGGGGTATCATGAGAATACAACTAGATGAAAATTAAGAATATCAGGACAAAGTCTGCTCATCCCACTTTACATGACTCTAGAGAGGTCTTGTGTACCCAGAGCTATGGGATAACCACAGGGCCTAGCTCCTTAAAGGGAATGACAGGCTGCACACACCACTCCAGCGACTTATGAGTGTCTTGCTTTTATTGCTCAGTGTCGGGCCATCCTGGTTGCTAAACACTTTGAATCTCATCCAGTAAGCAACACATCTCCCAGGACTAGCTAAGCCACTGTCTGTTCTCCCCTGCCCTCTTGGAAAGCAGAAACAGGAAGTGGGTGCTTAGAGCCTACCTTGAGGACTGGGCTTAATGTACAGTCTACTATAGAAACAGTTACAAAGAGCTATCATAGAAAAGTGTACCTTACCCCTCCCTACCACCTCCTTTTTTTTTAATTTAGTGAAAGGGGAGGAAACAGGATCTTACTATGCATCCCAGGATGGCCTCAAATCCATGATCCTTGATCCCTCAGGTGATAGAATTACAAGTGTATGCTACCATACTTCTTACATCACATTTTGTGAAGCCACATTTCCACGGGACTTGGCAGGGGGAAGAGGAAAGTGGCAGTGGGTTATGTAGGTACAGTAGGCAAACAACACCCAGCCAGCAATTGTTCCCCATCTGCAGGCTCTTCTCTACTCACCTCCTTGCCTCTCTCAGTTCTGCTGACATGGTCAAAGTCACATACAGCAAGTGCGACAAGGTAAGTTGGCATGCGGGGTGTGGTATGGAAGGTAGTGACCTTCCATCTGCTTCCATTCACATCGATTCTTTCAGACTGACCTGGAGGAATATTTTAGTCCAAACCACTGTAAACCTAGATAATATGCAACCTAGAAACAATTTGTCAAGACAGCTGTCAACCAGCCACTCCTTCCTAGGTATTCCCTGTAGTCCAGGAGATCGCGTTTCTCTGTCTAAACCATCAACACTACATCAGGTTACTGTGAACCTTTGTCATCCCAGGATCTAAATACAAAGTTAACAACGAGGAGGTAAAAATGTTAATTATCCTGAAATAGACACTATAACCCAAAAATATGCAAAATTATCATGTTGCTCAAAAGTATGTATGTGTATACATGTTGCATGTGTGTACAAGTGTACACATGTTTACAGAGGTCAGCAGTGAACATCTTCTCAATTGTTCTCAATTGTCTTTTGAGACAGGGACTCTAACCCTGAAGCTCCTGATTCAGCTAGACTGACTGGCCAGCAAGACCCCAGAAAACCCCCTGCCTTTGCCTCCCCAACACCGAGATTACAGTTGCACTCCACCATGCCCAGCTTTTTACACGGGTGCCGGAGATTAAACTCAGAGCCTCCTGCTTGCATGGCAAGCATTTCCTGACTAAGCCATTCTCCTAGTCCCCAGGACTATTTTAAAATATTTTCTATTATAATGATGACTACTCCCCCATTATCATCACTTACTGCATGTATGTATCAAGTCATCACATTTCATTCCATAAAGCTATACAGTTGTTATAATGATTTTTAAGTAAATAGAAAGTACATTTGGAGGACCCAATATGGGATCTTAGGCTTGAATCAGCTTCCTGAGTGATGAGAGCTTAACAAAATGAATGTCAAACCCATGAGCACTGCATGTTTTCTGCCCAGTTGATACTCTTTCTTTCCACCTGCTTCTATTTCCTAGCTCAGCACACTTCTCACAGCATTTCATCGAGAGCTGCCTGAGACCAAAGTGAATCAGAAACTACAATTCCACCTTTATCAGGTTTCCGATGTATCTTCAGCAGCAACAGTCTGGAGCCTAAAGCTGAAATCGCAAACTCAAATGTTAGTCAGGGTCAGCCATCAGATGCGTCACGGGGTACAATATAGTAACAAGGAGATTGAGGTAGTTTATGGTGGCTCAGGCCCACTCTGCAAGAGGCTACCTGTTCTCAGCCTTCATTCATTAAAGTCATATAAATGCTGCAGATCCTGTGTTAATTGAGCAACTGAGTTACCAAGGAAACAAAGATTTAGATTTTTACATTATATCTCTGGATCTTTAAAAGTTATAAACCAATGCAGTCACGATGAAAACAAAAATCACCCAAGGCGGATAAAATACATTCATGTATCTGCTGAGATCAACTGCACCTGCCTGTTATAGGTAAGGGCCCATAGTTGAAGCACTAACTAACGGGCAGGTAGACTGTCAGTATGTAGAGATAGTATCATGTCCCCAGATCCCAATACAGAAAGAACAGGGACTTATCTTCTCTAAGTATGAAAGGTCCATACTTGTCTCATGTGACTACTCTCCACAGTTATAACAGATGAAGGCTATTAACACATTGCCTAGAGAAGCAGACATGAAAGCTAATGTTTTCATTTTTATACAATGGCAGGAAACATTACTTACCTAGCTGGGGCATATTGGAAAGAGTCACATACCCAGGATGGTGAATAATTGTAATGTTAAAAGTTGCCTTCAGAGCTGGCTCATCAAAACAGGGAAAAACATTCCTGGCAAATGTTGGTTCCATTTGAGACGCAATCAAGGCTCTGAAATATATTTGGTAAATTTTTTTTCTTAGATCAACGGAACCACACACACACACACACACACACACACACACACACACACACACACACTCCAATTCCTACAACATCTTAGGGTTCTTGTAAGACCTAAAATAAAAATGATCTCTTTATTTTTCAAGCACAAAATGATTTTTGTCTCATTGCATAATAAACCTTTTATAAGGAAAACAGGAACAAACATAAACATGGAATGTCAGTCTTTGGAAAACTAGGATGGCTTCTTTGAGGACTGTTTGTTGCTTTCATCTGTCACCAAAGGGCAAGTCAGTCTGAAGAATGTCTATGTTTTTTCTTCCCCCCCCCCCCCCCGACTCTTTCTCAAATGTTCCCTCTTCTTTCTAATTGAAAACTTATGGTTCTATTTTGGAGCCTTCTGGGGGTAAACTGTATGGGCACACACCAACTGAACATTATGTCCTATGGTTACAGATAGATTCACCACATCCCTACTGTGGCTTCTCCTCCATTCATGGAAAAATACAAAGAATGACACACTGCCATGCTACACTGGAGATTTATAGCAGAAAGCTTAGGGACAAGCCCATGATGTCAGGTTCACCCCCAGCACATCCTTCCTGAGTGTCTTAAGGGCATGGCTCTCAGCAAACAGCTTTTTCCTCAGTCTTGTTAATTCCATTTGCCAAGACTCAGTGACCTGGGAACCTGGCTGGAGAGGACAATGGTGAATGTGAACTTTCTTCCAACTGAGGTCCCGGGCTTAGCATTTGTCACATGTTGACCCTTGCTTCAGGCCCAATTCAGAGATAAATAAAGCCAAACATCTTGAGAGGACCTGTCCTACTCGTTTTTCACCTCTACAAATCAATCTTCCACTGCAAAAGAGCCTCTTCGCCTATTAAACAAAATTCACAGCTCTCGGTGGTGGTGGGGCGGGGGGGGGGGGGGACAGTCAGGTAGTTGAGACATTCAGAAACCTCTCTTGAAAAATAAGAAAAACCCATCTCACAGACAGCCCATTGGAGGTGTCCAACTTTACTGTGACAAAGCTATAATTTGCAGCCAGCCTGTTTTGTCCTGCTCATTTCCCTCATTTTATTATAGCCCTGCTTGTGCAGGCTGGAAGGAAGCCTGTGGTTCCACAGTAGCCAGATTGGCTACAAGACCTGGTCTTTCTGCTACCGACGGAGCCATTCTGGGAAAGTCACATATTGGAGCTGAAGCTTCAGTTCTCCATGTGGAAAATATGACACTCTACTTTGGGTTGCTACTTGAGTGCACATATTATTAGTAGACAACTTAATAAGAAATCACCTGTGATCCCTACATCTTCCAACCTGACAAGCCATGCTCAATAGTTTAGAAGAGACCCAGGAGTCACTAACTTATGGGTGAGTTGGTCATTAGTGACAAACTCAGCTCCAAAGTTGTCAAAATTACACCTGAACACAAATCATCTTTCTTTCCCCAATTACAAACTACCAGAAGCTGGGGAGGGGCAGTTCTGTCTTTTCTTTTCTGCTTGTGTCATCTGCAACGCAAGACATCTTCAGAGCAGTTGAATTAGCAACTGATAATTAGCTCCACTTTGGGGCTGTTATAAAATATAGGCAGCTTTATTAATATATACAAGAGACTTTGAAGTACATTTGCAGTGTGTTTCAGTCAAAATTGCCTGTTTTAGGACTTGGGTTGCTGTGTTTGAGAGGAGATACATGAAACAGCATTGTATATTGTTTTTCAGTCACCTGAGTTCTCCGTTCAGATGAGCAGAATAAAAATAATTAAAGCCATGTAACTTTGAGAAATGTGCTTAAAGTCTTTAGGGACCATTTTCCATTGAATGTTTGGATGGGATGAGATATCTGAATGGATGATCTGAATGGACACTGAGATTTCTAACAGCATGATTCTGGGGTGGGGTGTAAAGAGGGCTAAACATACCTAACGAAATGTATGTAAACCTTTGAAGTGGCCCTGCTTGAGTCACCTGGAGACCATAGGAGGAGTCCCTTCAAGAGTTCGCCCATGCTCCTAGGGAAGTCCATACCCTGACACTGTAGAACAGTCTGAACAGATGGTGACATTTGTACCAAAGAGCATGCATACTCTAACGTGAAAAGGCACATCTCATTACAGAGTATGTCTCTTGATACCCAGGATGTCAAATGCTGAACACAAACCATGGAAAGACAAGCTTGACAGCATCTCCTCTGCTACGACTTCACAAAGGAGGCTTCAAAATGGGCAACAGGAAGAACAGCACCACTTTAGCAACCAAACACAGTAAATGCTTCCAAGTCTGTGATTCAAGTCTCCCGAGAAGTGAAAGAAAGAGGCTTCTCCTGGATTTTCTGTAACCGTTTCCCAAAAACAGTTCAAGAAAGGTCCCTACTACTCAAAGCCCTTTTGGCTCTTCATCTTAGCTGCAAAGGCCAGCAGCAAGCAGCAGTCATGTGATCTTATATGCCACATCTGGAAATCTCACAGTGAGTGGCTTTGCCTTCTCGCTCTGCCAGCGGAGGGAGAAATATCAAGCCTTTCCGAGCACAGGATGACCTACCATTCTCTCTTCCCTTCAAGTTTCAGGGAAGTATAATATTATGGTGTCTGCTAAGTCTCTGTTTGCCGTGGTCAGCTGGTAAAGGAACTGCTGTAGGGGAATTTGCCTCCTAGAGGTTCAGCACTGTAGAATCTCTTTCCTTCCCCCTTGCCTTGCTCTAAAATCATGGCCTCAGAATGCTCTGGAGCTAGAAGGGATCTTCATGGAACATCTTCATGCACTTGGAGAATAAGTCTATGCCCATTGAAAAGATATCAATTACATGCACTAATAAATTATTTCACTCCAAATTATTTTATGAACTCCATATGAACTCCATCTTCTGTTAACAAGTGCTAAATAACAGAGCTAGTCAGAGATTAAGAAAAATTCTTCAAGAGTTATGATACCCCACTCCTTAAATATTTTAATATAACACACACCTAGAAATCAAAACATTTAGTAGAAGCAGATGTTCAACCACTGGACTGTGGTTCAAGGATTGTTCTATGAATCATGTTTGTTTATTACTTGTGTAAGAGTACTGGAAACTGCAGTTTCTACCAGGCAACAAAATATAATAGCTACAAAATTCCAAAGAAAGATGCCAAATTAGGTTAGGAAGTTCTTCGAAGCAAATGGCCTTGAGACTCAGAAGGTTCCTCTTTGGATAACTCGGGCGTAAGAGGGTACAGGAGAGCCAGGGAGTGAAGAGGAGCCAGAAAAGAGAAGTCTGAGCAGGTCGTGAGTGGGTTTTACCAATGCTCACATGCTGTCCGGGAGTTGGAAGGAGCCACCAAACTCTACCCTTGGGTTAATGGAGAGAAGAGGCTCAGTAGGCAACATAAATATTCCTTAAATCTGAAAGAGGAAAGGCTAGTGCTCATTCAACCCCCCCCTCAAAGAAACTGAATCTGAGCAGAGCCTGGACTCTGCTCCTACCCACTGGGGACCTAAGAGGTGACTGAACAGCTGGCTGCTTCGGAGGCAGAGCAGGAAGAAGGCTGCTGCCTCCAGACATATGGCAGTCCTAGGCAAGGGAAGGATGAATGCCCTCAGTAGAACTTTGGGTCCAAGACACTGTGAACCATAGCGGGTCCTGGCAGAGGTTGAAGGAGTGTAAAGACACATTACCTGCTTGCTGGACTGAGGGACCAGTGACGTGACTACACAGGATGTAATATATGAGAAAAGAATAAATTAATTAAAAAAACACAGAACCATATGAGTTTCACAAGGGGAAAAGTTAGAAATGTAACTCCATACATTAAACTATAAAGAGCAGTGGAGATATGCTAACCACATTTGTTTTCAAAAGCTGCAGGATGGCTAGCAAAATTACCTCCCAGAAAAACCATTAGTCATGCAAAATATGAGTTCAACATCTATCCCAGCTATAAAATTACCTCCGTCCTCCTACATCTTGTGCCTGGTACTACAGTTCACTGACCTTGTTTTGAGACATGGAAATTCTTTCCCAGTATTGCTCAATTTTCCGAGAGTGTGTCATACTCTCAGCACAGTATAAGATTTCTTAGCATAAAAATGCAACTTCAAGGAAGTCTTTTAAAACCCTGCTCACCCTGCCTGATTTTGATCATGTTACTGTCTCCTTTATTTGATCTTCATAAAGATCAGAATTTTGTACAACTCCTCTTGAATTCCTTCCCCAGGGCTTTCTCATTTTCTTTCTCTAACTTTTTCTCGGCTACTTCTTATCTTTTATCTGGTGAATATCATGATTAGAATGCAAGAATATTCCTAAGAATCCAAGAATATGGTTATATGTTTGTTCTAATCAAATGAAAAATTGGGGGCCGGAGAGGTGGCTCAGTAGGTTAAGATGCTTGCTGACAAGCCAGATAACGTTAGTTTGAGTCCCAGGACTTTTAAATGGAAGGAGAAACCCAACTCCCAAAACTTGTTTCCTAAGCTTCATACACACAAACACATGCATGGAGTCAATAAATGTAATTTTTAAAAAGGAAACTTGAATAGCTTTAAAGTATAAAACAATTTTCGAAAGTCTGACATCTTAATTTACAGAAATGACTTTCATTCCCAGAGAACTTAGGACAAGTGGACACCATAATCTATGCTTCTGCTTCCAGGTATGAAATAAATGGGAATAAATATAATAAAACATGCTCACAAATAAAATATTCCTAAAGGTAATTAATATTTTTAGACAAGGTCTCATTATGTATGCCTGGCTGGCCTTGAACTCACAGAGATCTGCCAGTCTCTGCCTCCTGAGTGCTGGAATTAAAAGAAAGTACACCATGCCTAACCCTGAAAGTAATTAAAGAATACGTACGTAAGTGGAACAGTTAGGAAGACGATGTCTGGCTAGTGAACTAAAGAGGCCCTAGTGTAAAACACAAAAGTTGTAGAGTTGGTCTCAGTCAGCTTAAAAACAAGGCTCAAGAAGGGACCACTAAGTAACTCCAGTGTCTGAATGAGATAAATATAGGGAAAAAAATCCAGCACCTATATTTGAATGGCTAAGAGAGAAAGCAAAGTTATGGAGCAACTAGAATTCTCTGATTGATAATATTCATAAAAATTATAAGTGGTCAAATGCCTTGGAAAATAACTTCTTAGATTCTTCAAATATCCAACTGCCATGTGACCCAGCCATTCTTCCTTTGATATCATATTTACTCAAAGAGGTTAATTTGCATAAAGGTTTGTATGTGGATATTTCTGGAAGGTTTCTTTGTAATAGCCACATACTGGAAATAATGTAACTATCTTGTGTGTTTGAGAACAATATGTGGGTTAAAAGTAAAGGGACAGTAAAAGATTCATGGTGGAAACATCAGGCATTAGAAACCTGTGATTAGAAAAACTGGAGAAGGCTGGTGTAGAATGGATAGTCTTTCAGAAACTGCTGTGGCAATTCAGCAAGGGGATTGCATTTTTTGTTTGTTTGCTTGTTTGTTTTTGTTTTTGTTTTGTTTTGAGACAGGGTTTCTTTGTGTAACAGCTCTAGTTGTTCTTTGTAGATCAGGCTGGCTTTTAACTCATAGAGATCCACCTGCCTCTGTCTGCTGAGTTAGAGGCATAACTGACATTTCTGTTATATATGCTATAACAGAAGGAGGTAACCACAAGCAGTTGGTATTGTTTTAAATATTATTTTCCTCAGTGCATGCCTGTGATTGCAACACTTGGAAAGATGAGGTGGGAGAATGGTAATGTGGAGGCTAGTCTTGACTGAACAGTAAGAGCCTGTCTCAAAACAGTATGTTTGTATGTATGTATGTATTTCACAGTTAAACAGTACCTTCTAGCATCCATTCTTGCCTTATACATGTCTTGCAAACCATCAGCACGGATTCAGCTACAAAGACTGCCATAACAAATATTGTTAGAGTATCACCCTACTGAAGTTACTTCAGTGGCTTCTGACACCCCACTAGGAGTTAGTGATACAAACAAGGATACAGAGGTGAGGCAAGGTCATCTTCAAGGAGCAGAAATGGATTCTCAGTATTGTTTGACTGGTGGGATTTTATCTGCAGGAACTTATACAGTAAAGGGTTTCTTTACTTTTATGAAATGGCCAGAGTCAAGTTGTACCTATTCTGTACTTTAGAATGTTTGGTTGACACATGTAGTACATACAAAAACAACAAACAAAAATCAAACTTTTATGATGAAGTGACTATCACCAACTGAACAAATGTCCTTCCATACGATCATAATTTACATCCTTTGCAATGAATTCCCAAGGTCATCAGCATATGTACAATGCAGGGTTGGTAGCAGGATTGTTTTATGGTGTTCTTGATAATTGCTTAGGAGCTGTGATGAACCAGACTGCTGTGAGATACTGGTGGGCTGTCACCAAAATTTACTTTCCAGAACTCAGAGGTGTAAAACAAACTGTTTGAAACCAATTTCTTCAGACTCTGGAATCTATATTTTCACTCATTACACAGGAAAAGAAATGCAAGCTCATCAATTAGAGGGTCTTTGTTGTTACTGTGCAAATCAACTTTCATCCTGGGAAAAGTCAACTCCAAACCCAAACTTCTTTTCAAGGACTTACCAGTTCTTTAGGATAAGAAATCTAAGCTCCATCTTTCTACTCCCAGGTGTCATGGTGATGAGAAAGGAAAAGAAAGAGGAGAATTCCCAAAACAAGAAGAATTCTCATACTACCACATTGATGTGACTGAATTTTCCAGGCTGGTGTGACTTTTGTATCAAGCCTTCATAATGATCAAGGTTCGATGGTTCCCAACAATGCTAAGACCCTCCCTCTTCTGGTCTCCTGAGTGTTCAATTTAACACCAGATCCTGGATAACTCCCTTTGAAGCTGTCTTAGACAATCACTTCTGTAGTATTCACCACAATGGTTGTTTTCATTCTTGGCACAGTGTAGCTATCCAGCCAATACCCTCCACCCACAGGAGAAATTCAAGACCCCTCAGACCTCTTACGGATTACGGGAAACATTTGCATCATTTAAGACCCATGACCTACATCACTTCTATTCTGTGGATGAGAAGCCATACGTGTAGCACCAGGCTAGCAAAGCTCCCTTGGAGCTGCTTTGCCTGTACTCCTACATAGTTCTGGGTTACTCTGACCTCAAGCTTCATCTACAGTCAATATGGAGGAAACAATCACTCCTTCTCCCTTGCTTATGGTAGGGACAGTTCTGAGGTATGGCTCAGGCTCCAGAACTTTTCTGGATAGGGCTTCATTTAATTTCATATCATACATTGACTTTCTTCCCACTCAGACTCCCCCAGTCTATGTCTGTTCTTTGCCTGGGAACACTTTCTAAGAAACTGCTATCAGGGACCTGGAGTGACGGTGGAGGTTAAGAGATAGAGCAACAAGCTGCTTCCTCCAGAGGACCTGAGTTTGATTCCAGGCACCTGGGTGTTTGGCATCTATAACTTCAATCCTAGGAGATCAGATGCCCTTTTCTAGCTTCCATGAGCACCAGGCAAGTACATGGTTCACAGACATGTGCAGGCAAAACATGCATATACATAAAAGAAAACTAACTTATTTTTAAAAGGAATTGTTTTCACAGGAAAATTTGTCTGAGAATCATGCCCTTGTCAAACAAAGTCAAGATATGTGCTCTCCATTTTCTCTCTCTCTCTTCTCCAATCAAAGAAAATTTAAGCAGAAAAAGCATTGGTTAAAATTCAACACCCATTCATACAAAAAAAAATTCATACAAAAATGGAACAGAACAGAAATAATCTTACCTTGATAATCTATATAACATATAAAGTTATATAAAGATCTATACTAAAATTCCACACCTCTTCACTGAAGCCTCCCCACTCTCCAACCCTTTGTGTTTTCCTACCACAGATGTCTTAGGCTCTTAGGTACCAGAACCTGGCAGTTTCTGTGTTTGGATAAGAAGGAGCCTGCCTTCCCTTGGAAGGATTAAACTGACCTACCCCACACAGGCCACAGCTCATGTCGTGTGCCAGTCACTGATAGGTCTTGTCTGTCTTATCTCATTGTCCCAATGTTCTAAAGCTGACTGTTGATTGTATCTATTCCAGGATGGAGAAACAGACTCAGGATGATGCAGTGATAAGTTCAGCTGACACAGCTCACTGTCAACCCCTGGGCTTAGTCAGCTCCCGAAATTCACTGTGCCACCAGCCATCATTGTGCCAGGTTCTTTGTGACCCTGACTTCAAGCATCTTTTTGTCTAGAAGTAGAGGAATAACAACTTGCTGGTGATAGCTCCTCAGAAACCCCAATTCTAGAACTCTCTCTGGGCTTCGGTGTTCTGAAAAATCTGGCTTCTCTTGACAATAGGAAATGGACAGGGGCTCCTAAGTTAGCTTGTCGGGGCTACCTAGCTTGTCTGGGCTTGTCCCCACAGGGACAGAGAGAAGGGAAGCAAACAAGCCAAGATTTGTGGACAGTAGAAACCTCTGCCAGCTGTGCCCTGCATTTCAGCTCTTTCCTCTGAGGAATTAAGGCACAGTTGTGTCAAACCATACTCGGTGAAGTAGACCTTGGTTCACATGTCATTCTTAAGAGATAACTTCAAATCATTTTTCAAGAATGAATGCACTGAAAACAGAAAACCAAACACATCATCCTTTCAAAGTTAAGACCGCGTATCTACTTAGGCAACTCATTGACCTCATTTAAGAACTTTGAAGCTTTGAAAAATGTGTAAGAGGCAGGTTAGCATGTACTTCAGTGTGATTCCCGCCCCCAGCATCTAAGAACGTTTTCTCTAATAAAGGGCAAAGTGCAAGAAGGTGTGTGGATTGCAAATGAACCTCCAGTGGGCGAATGGAGGAAATTATTGTCCAATTTTCACAATATTGGCAGGGTTTCTGTAGTGAGACCTCAGACTAGGAGGAGAAGCTTCTGAAGGAGTGGCTGGAAACGCCCCCTGTGGGAGATATTTTCACAAGCCAGTGAGTTTAAGAACATGGGATCACAAATCCCAGCAGAGGAATTCCAGAAGTGCCGGGCTCCGAAGTTCAGCAGAATGCACCAGATGCCACAGATGGCCAGCAAAAGGAAATGAGGGCTCTGGCAGCCATGGAACAGATAAATGAATTGTTATTCTTAAGTTTCTGCAAAATTTTAGTGAAACCAACAGAAGAAAAGGATACAGAAACAATCAACCCTGTTGTGGCTGTGTTTGTAGAGCCATAGTTAGCCTGGTTAGATGGAGCAAGGCAGAGCAAAACTTAGTGCCCAGGCCTCTGGGAGAGAGAATCTTATACCAAAGAAGGATGCTTCCAGCTTGCCAAGCTTTTAAGGCCAGAAGTGCTGGCAGGTTCTGACACCTTTGGTGGGGCATGGTTTCGAACAGTTGTATTTCCAGGCAGTTCTTAGGTATTGACAGTTGTTGTTGGTCAAAGTACTAATCCTTAAGAAGGGAGGAATTTGTTTAGACAGCTAGAATTTTCTAGGTAGATAAAGCTTTTCTTAAAAGAACAACAAAAACCTGATAAACTCCGGAGGAGAAAACAACCTCAATGTGGGCAAGGTGGATGGGCAGAGGAAATAGAGCTGAAAAGCAAAAGAGGGAGAACCTGGGTCTCAACATCTTTATTCCTAGCAGAATTTCAGAGGAAGAGAAAGAAGGAAGCCTTTGCCTTTGGCTCTGAGAGAGGAGAAAATGCCTTTCTCAGGGCAGAAAATGGATCACACAGATGAGCACTTCTGGGGTGGGGATGCATGCCGGACTATGCCACAAGCCCTTACCTGTGCTCACCCTGGTCCATGTAGAAGTTCAGGAAGAGCCCCTCTGAGGTGTGCTGAAGCACTTGGCCAGAGTAGCCCAGGTTCAGCTTATACCTGCTACCTGGCTGCAAGGCCTGGCCCAGGTCCAGAACCATGTATTGCATGTCCAAAGCGAACCACACATTGTCCACCGGCACTCGGCCTACAGTGGCATTCCTATTGTCCAGGGCCAGGGGACCCCACACTTCCACTCGCTTGTAATTCAGAAGGAAGCTGTGCAGCAGCAGCCTCGAGGTGGCCTCTGTGCAGCGTACAGTGATGTTCACGCGGCCCGTGAAGGTCAAACTCGGTGAGGGCAGGTCATCCGGCCGTAGCCAGGGCCACAGCTCCAGATCATAGTGAAGCGGGACAAGCCAGGGGGGCAGGCGCAGCTGTTCCCAGGGCCCCGACAATGGGGGTTGCCAGTCTTTCGAGGTGGTGGCCACTGCTGGCTCACGTGCAGCCTCTGGTGTCAGGGTTGGTGGCGCCTGCTCCTGGCCACCAGGAGGGGATAACGCAGTGTTCTTCATCCCGGGGCTATGCTGCTCCAAAGGCTGGACGCGTGAGCAGTTGCCATACAGGGTAGCCAGAGTCACCAGCACCAGCAAAAGCGTGGCCATCAGCCCGGCCAGCAGGAGGGCCACCCCGCGGCTCACATAGATGCCGGAGCTGGAAGGGGGGCTCATGGCTGGAGTCTGTGGTGGGCAAGACGGGAAAACAGAGACAGACGGCAGCAGCAGGTCAAACCCAGGACGAGATGTGCAGCGATGGGACACCTTCCCAGTCCCTCCTCTCTTGTACTGTCCCTCCTTCTCCTCCAGGAGCTTGGGAAGACTGGAGCTGAAGAAGGGGGCTGTGACCATGGTTTTCCCCTCCTTTAACCAGATCCAGATCCCTGCCTACCTACCCCCGCCCCACCAGAAACTGGGAGGAAGGGCGGACCCCTTACCAGGGCGCGCGCCCCTTTGGTCCTTGCAGGGAGGCGCAGTCAAAACAACCCATCTGGACATTGTCGAAGGGTTTGGAGGATTAACTGGCTGGTGAGCTGAGCTTGCAGGTGTAGGAAAGGGTCAGGTTCCTGAGCCAGGGGGTGAGATGGGGTTTTGATGATGTTCTTTAAACTTTAAAGAGCGACCACGGTATAGTAACTTCTGAACCAAAGCTCATGTCCCCAAGTCCCTACCAGATTAAACAGCGTAGACATGCGGCTCGGACAGAAAACATGAGCTTGGTTTTTTGCTGGCTCTGGGGACCAAAATCAAACAAAACCAGGGAGCAGGGAGCGATGTGGAATGGAGCTAGGCAAGTGGACTATAGCCTCTGCTTAGGTCTGCAACTTCGCCTGAAGCAGGATTTGGTTCTCTGCTTCCCCACAAGGGAGAAGGAACTCCTGTTTGTAAAATCCCATCATTTCAAGCAAAGAAGATAAAATGATCTCTCCACCCAGAAACCAAGGGGCTGGAACTGTTTTCTGGCGGTTCCCAGACTAGTGAGTTCTTTAGCATGCCAGTCATCTGTTTGCTATTTAGCCTGTGTGCTTGGGCGGGTTCTCCTGTGCACCCTGTCCTCCTGGGTCCGCAGGCACGAGAGTACAAAGCTGGTGGGCGAACTGGGGAAAAACCACGATTAAGATCTGTTGAAAGCTGAAGATTCATTTCAGTGTATCCAGTCTCCTCTTCTCCACCCCCCCCCCCCAGAGCTGGTTGGGGGGAAGGCTTTTGCCTGGTAGCTGTAAAAGGGGTTAGCATTCCTATTGGGCCCATATTTCGTTCAATGATGAAATGCTTTCAGATGAGGGTGGACGACGGTGAACCTTGCGGGAAATGTGGGTTTCCTCTATCCTCCCACGGAAATCAATCATATCAACACCACTAAGTCAGGAAGGTGGAAACCAATTTGACAGGAAGCTCAGAAGGATGCCCTGTGGGCCAGGCTCCCCGCCCTTGGTTGGGTTTGCTTCTTCAGAAAAGGAAAAGTCGTGTTTAAAAGTAATTGCAGCCATGTGTTTGGTTCTCGGAAGACCTGAGTGAGGATGAGGAGAAGCTCCCCTGTACAATCACAGTTGTGCTATTGGAATTTTGACCTAAGAGCACAGCAGTTTTTCTGGGATTAGGTCATCAGATGGAATTGTGACTGAGCTAATTAATTAAACCGGCTCTACTCTCTCCATTTCTCCAACCCACTCCCAGGCTGAACAAGTGTACCACACCAATGCACTATATCCCCCAGGAGATTTTGTTGGGAGTCCAGACTCCCCCAGGAAAGGTAAAAGCAAAGAAGTGAGTAGAGGGAGAAGTCAAAAACGCTGGAGGGAGCCTCCTCAATTGTGCATAGGAAACTACTGGAAAATGTGTGTTCCTAAGATACTCAAAAAAGTGTGGAGCTACTACACATGCATCAGCCCAGAGCTCTCACTTGGGGCTGATCTTGAGGCACTTCTGCTGCTTAATGTGATGGCTAAGGCATAACTGCCCAGTGCTTGAGTAAGTTGCTTAAATTACATATGGGGGGGTAGAAGGGACAGAGAAAAAGAGAGACAGAATCCTAGGATTACAGTCATAGAAACCACGTTAGGATAAAAGTAAAGAGTACATTCAACACAGGCATAAATAAGGACTTCCTAAACAGGACTCTGATTGCTCGGAAGATCCTGACATAGTTCAGACAATAAGACCAAAGGCAGACACTATGGCAGGGGTTTCATTGGAGAGGCTTTCAGAGTTTGTTCAAATGCTAAGGTCAATGGGCTAACCTCATTTAGAAGCTGGAAATTTGAATATTTCCATTGGAAAAGCAATATTGCCCTCAGCCATGGCAGCTACTTCAATGCTGTGGAGCAGTATTCACAAATGATATTTAAATAGCTCAATACTATGTCACAGATAGATTTTTCTGAAAGGCAAAGGAAGCTTTCAAGAATTACAACAGGACAAACTCTTACTGATTAAACCACTTGCACAGCTTGACTTTCTTTGAAACATCTGACCTTTCAGTCTCTACATTAAACAGCCTGTGAAATGAATGCTCTTCAAGGCAACAAGCATGGAGCAGGCCCAACAGCCCCTTTGGCATCCTCATAAATTAATGAGACTCTGCTGGGGAACTGCAAAGCCTTTAATAAAATTCTCTTTGAGTGGCCTCAGCCCTGAAAGCACTTATGGGAGCACGCAGTGTGGAAAGGTAGCAGGAAGCACCTGCTTTCAAATGGCTCTGTTTCCATCAGGGCAGGGAGTGATGGAAGGACTTGGTATAAAAAGGATGTTCGCAGTCTGGCCTTGAACCTCTCCCAGTTAAGGTCTGTCTGAAGACAGGATACCTCCCCTGTCTCCACAATAAATCTTTCTCCTATCTGGCACTCTCAAACTGTCTCCCATCCCTAAGGAACTTAACTCTGCTAGAATTTATCCAGTCAAAAGTAACCTCGGTTTTTTTTTGAAACTATGTTTCATATGACCCCACCTCTGGTTCTTTATGAAATTTGAAACAAAGGAAGATCGATGAAGAGGCTACAACCTGACAGAAATAGAAGAACAGTCTATCTCTGATATGGTTATATGGATCTTTGGGCTAGAAGCAGTCCTTGGGCATACTGTCAATGTCTCCCATGATGTCTTTATATTTTTTATTTTATCTTATGTATGAATGTCTGTGCACCAAATTACTACACAGTACCTTAAGAGTCCAGAAAAAGGGGTTGGGTCCCCTGGAACTGGAGTTACAGACCATGTGAGCTGCCATATGGGTAATGGAAATCAAACCCACATCCTCTGTGAGAGCAGTACCCTCTCCTGACGTCCACTGGCAGCAGCTACATATGCCGTGCATTTACATACTTGCAGAAAAATGTCCACACACATAAAATAAAATTAAATACATTTTGATTGTAAGTACCAGAGGGCAAAGAAATCTGTTGCAAGATTGTGTCTTCTAGATATGACACGGAACCTACACCCATGAAATCTCAACAATACGTCTGATTAAAGAAGACCTGAAAAATGAAAGAACCACTTGACATCCCAAAGCGGATGGTGTGTGTGTGTAGGTGCCTGCCCTTAGATGAAGAGCTATATGTTATTAAATACTACTGAAAGAGGAAGAGAGAGAGAGAGAGAGAGAGAGAGAGAGAGTAGCAGAGTGAATGCTAAATGTTTACTCAAATCCCAAGTGATCAGCCCTAAACACATATACATGTGAACAACATTAAACAGATTCAGTAGTTATGTTTATACATTTATTTGCATATATAACAAAGAATAAGAGACCATGAATTTTAAAGGGAGTAGATAAGGGGAGGAGTATAGGAAGAGTTGCTGGGAGCAGAGAAAATGTAATTATACTTTAATTAAGTTTAAATCTTTTTAGAATAAATAAATCTTTAACAATATATGCAAATAAAAAACATAAAAACACATTTATCATATTGACCATAATGGATATTCTTGGTTGTCAACTTAACTATATCTGGAGAACCTAAAATGGAGGGGTACTCCTGTGATTGACTTTTCCTTAATTTGAAGTGGGAAGAACTGGTCCCAATCTGTATCTTTGAGGTGGAAAGCCACACTTCCAGTCTAGGCCATGCCTTCTGCTGGAAGCCTATATAAGGATGTGAAAGATGGAAGCTTTTGCTCTTTGCCTTTTTGCTTCCATCTTACTAGCAAAGTCCATTCCTTCATTGACATTAGAGCCTATTTCTTTGCAATTCTGGAATATACTGAAGATCAGCTGAGGCCTCCAGCCTCGTGGTCTGAACAACTATTAGATTCTTAGACCTTCCATTCACAGGCAGCCATTGTTAGATTAGCTGGACCGTAGCCTGCAAGTCATTCTAATAAACCCTCTATATATAGACAGAAAAAAATCATTCTATAAGTTCTATTACTCTAGAGCAGAACAGTTCTCAACCTTTATGTTGCAACCCCTTTGGGGATCAAACTACCTTTCACAGGGTCACATATGAGATATTCACATTACAATGCATAACAGTAGCAACATTATAGTTATGATGTAGCAATGATATAATTTTATGGTTGTGGGTCACTACAACATGAGGAACTGTATTAAAGAGTTGAAGCAAAAAAAGAGTTGAAGCATTATATTTATATTAATATAAATAACTATGAACACTGGAAATTCCCTTTGACTTACATTCCGACAATCCATTTAAAAAAAAAGGCCAACCAACAATAGAAACAATTCTAATATAAACAAAATATGTATTTTTAAGTGTACTATGGTCCTGGCAATCAAATTAAGGGCCTTGATCATCCTAGGCAAACACCCTACTAATAGGGATAGAATTAAAAAAATGCCCACATCTAGTGTGAACCAGGCAGTGAGAGCCAATGCTTTAGCAGCAGCCAGCACAAGAGCCCACCAGCAGAGAGAATTATTTCTCTGCTCATGCTAATTTACTGGGCTACCAGTTTGTGCTGGGCATTACTGTTTAAAAGTAGTAAATTTCTCTAATTGAAAGAGGGAAAACATCCCTGTTCTATTTCTAATGTTTTATTATGTAATGTTTAAACTTTTTTATGTTTTTATAATTTTTATTTAATTTTTTTCTTATTTTACATATTGACCCCAGTTCCCTCTACCTCCCATCCTCCCATGCCTGCCACAGATCCCCCCATTTCATCCCCCATCTACTCCCCAGGGAAGATGTTATGAGTAGGTTTTTCCTGCCAGTCTTGTCCCAC